GATGTATCATTAGGTCATTGATTTGGGATCTTTCATCTTTTTAATATATGCACTCATGGCTATAAACTTTCCTCTCAGACTGCCTTAGCTGTGTCCCATAGGTTCGGTAGGTTTGTTTTCATTTTCATTGACTTCCAGGAACTTTTTAATTTCCTCTTTTATTTGCATCGATGATCCATTCTTCATTAAGTAATGAGTTATTTAGTTTCCAGCTGTTTGCATGTTTTTTGTCTTTACTTTTGTTGTTGAGTTCTACTTTTACTGCATTGGTCAGATAGTATGCATGGTATTATTTCTATTTTCTTATATTTGCTGAGGCTTGCTTTGTGCCCTAGGATATGATCTATTTTGGAGAAGGTTCCATGGGCTGCTGAGAAGAATGTATATTGTGTAGAGTTGGATGAAATGTTCTGTAGACATCTACTAGGTCCACTTGATCTATTGCATATTTTAGATCTTGGATTTCTTTATTGAGTTTTTGTTTGGATGACCTATCTATTGATGATAATGGAGTGTTAAAGTCTCCCACAACCACTGTGTTGGCGTTTATATATGCTTTTAGGTCTTTCAGGGTATGTTTGATGAAATTGGGTGCGTTGACATTGGGTGCGTACAGATTGATGATTATTATTTCCTTTTGGTCTATTTCCCCTTTTATTAGTATGGAATGTCCTTCTTTATCTCGTTTGATCAATGTAGGTTTGAAGTCTACTTTGTCAGAGATAAGTATTGCTACTCTGCTGTTTTCGGGGGCCATTGGCTTGGTAAATCTTCTTCCAGCCTTTCATCCTAAGCATATGCTTATTTCTGTCGGTGAGATGAGTCTCCTGTAAGCAACAAATTGTTGGATCTTCTTTTTTAATCCATTTTGTCAAACGGTGTCTTTTGATGGGTGAATTAAGTCCATTAACATTAAGTGTTAGTACTGATAGGTATGTGGTGATTCCTGCCATTTAGTTATCTTAGTTGTTTGAAGGTTTGATTGTGTGTACCTAACTTGATGTTACTCTCTACTGTCTTGCTTTTTTTATCCTGTGGTTTGGTGCTGCCTGCCTTTTCATGGTTAAGTTGGGTGTCACTTTCTGTGTGCAGGATCCCTTGCAGAATCTTTTGTAATGGTGGCTTTGTGGTCACATATTTTTAGTTTCTGCTTATCATGGAAGACTTTTATTGCTCCATCTATTTTGAATGATAGTTTTGCTGGGTAGAGTATCCTGGGGTTGAAGTTATTTTCATTCAGTGCCCGGAAGATCTCACCCCACGCTCTTCTTGCTTTTAATGTTTCTGTTGAGAAGTCTGCTGTGATTTTGATGGGTTTACCTTTGTATGTTACTTGTTTTTTCTCTCTTACAGCCTTCAATATTCTTTCCTTAGTTTCTGAACTTGTTGTTTTAATGATGATATGTCGTGGAGTAGTTCTATTTTGATCTGGTCTGTTTGGTGTCCTGGAGGCCTCTTGCATTTGTATGGGAATATCTTTCTCTAGATTTGGGAAATTTTCCGTTATTATTTTGTTGAATATATTACGCATTCCCTTCGCTTGCACCTCTTCTCCTTCTTCGATGCCCATGATTCTCAAGTTTGGTCTTTTGATGGAGTCGGTGAGTTCTTGCATTTTCTTTTCACAGGTCTTGAGTTGTTTAATTAATAGTTCTTCAGTTTTTCCTTTAATTACCATTTCATCTTCAAGTTCTGAGATTCTGTCTTCTGTTTGTTCTATTCTGCTGGATTGGCCTTCCGTTTTGTTTTGCAGTTCTGTTTCGTTCTTTTTTCTGAGGTTTTCCATATCCTGGCTGTTTTCTTCTTTATTGTTGTCTATTTTTGTCCTGAGTTCATTTATCCATTTATTCATTGTGTTCTCTCTTTCACTTTGGTGTTTATACAGTGCTTCTATGGTTTCCTTTATTTCTTCTTTTGCTTTTTCAAATTCTCTATTTTTTTGTCTTGGAATTTCTTGAGTGTCTCCTGTACATTTTGGTTGACCCTATCCAGTATCATCTCTATAAAATTCTCATTGAGTACTTGTAGTATGTCTTCTTTTAAATTATTCTTGTAGGCTTCATTGGGTCCTTTGGCATAGTTTATCTTCATTTTGTTGGAGTCTGGCTCTGAGTTTCTGTTCTCTTCATTCCCCTCTGGTTCCTGTACTAATTTTTTGCTGTGGGGAAACTGGTTTCCTTGTTTTTCTGTCTTCCTGTCATTGTCCTTGGTGTTGTTACTGTCCCTGTACTGTGTGTAATTAAGTATTTTCTAGCTTGTAATAATAACAATGGTAATATTGAGAATGGAAGAGTGAGCTGAGATGGAAAGCAAGAAGTTAAAGAAAAGGGAAAACAAATATACAGACAAGAGGGAGAAAGCAGAACAAGGTATCAGACAAGAGAGTTTCAAAGGTATAAACAGGGAGTGTTAGTGTACTAATCGACAGTAAGCTGAACAGACAATAGAGTGACAAGAGAGGATTGAAAATCAAAGATAAAAAATAAAAATAAGTATATGAAAGTAATATCTATTATAAAAATGAATTAAAATAAAATGGAAAATAGAAAATTAAAAAAAAAAAACCAAAAAACTTCCAAGTTTATATGCAATGCAATTTCAGTCTTAATAATTTGGATGTCCGTCTCAATCTCCAGTCCTGGAGTTGGTGCCTCAGATGTTGTTCTGTAGTTGTCTCATCAAAGGGGATGCATAAAGTAGAACAAAACTACACTCACACACACACAGAAGAAAAAAAAAAAAAAAGCCCCACCAAGTGTCCCCAGTTCAAATGCAATACAGTTTCAGTAAGTTTTTCGGCTTGCAGGTGTAATTCGGTTGTTCTCTCATCAAAGGTAGGGAGAAAAAGAAAAAAAAAGCGTCTGGAGGCAGTTCTGAGAGTGGTATCTGCAACTGTGGCTTGCCTGCCTGCTGCTCTCAGCCTGTAGCTGGCGGCGTTATTTATGCAGATCTCTGGGGTGAGCTAGCACTCACCTGGTCCCACAGGCTTTGTTTGCTCAGAGTTCTCCTGTGCGGGGCCTCTGCTACAGGCTTTCCCTTTCCAAGCACTGGGAAAGGTGCCACTGCCCCGTTGTCAGGCCTGCGTGTTTATTTACAGTTCACTGGGAAGGGTCTTCCTCCTCTCACAAGCGTCCCGCTCCTGGTTGCTGGCGCGCCCCGCTCCGCCAGAGCCTCTCGGGCCGCCCGGCTCGTTTATTTACAGTCCCGGGAAGGATTCCCTTCCCCCAATCTTCAGCGCTCAGGGCGCCCCACCCTCTTTCCAGCGTGTCTTAACTGTTCTTATTGCTTAGTACTCAGTTTCTCTTTTTTTCCCTGGTGGAGGTCAGTCTGTCCAGGGGGCTATGCTGCTCTGGCCCAGGCTTGTCTGTGGGGGAACCGCGGTACCGCGAAGCTCACCTGGTCCGCGTCTTCCCAAGCCGTATGGGCGCCGGCCCCTGGCGGCCCCGGGGGCCTCCTCAGTTCTCCGTTTAACGTGAAGTGGAGATTCTCTGCGCCGGCTGGAGGTGTGGAGGGGTCAAAGTTATGCCTTTTCTCGGTGATTATGCCTGCAAAGTGTGTCTCCAGCGTCTCTCCAAGATTTCACTATAGGAGGCTCGCTTTCTGCTTCCTCCCTCTAGCCGCCATCTTGGAATTCCACCATTGCATAGTTTTAGATGAAATATTATTAAACTATACTGGACTTCCTTTGTTTTACTTTCTTTAAGATTTTTGATCCATATTCATATTAACACTGATAACTAGTTTCTAAAATGCTTAATAAGGTTCATTATTTTATTATTTTTTTCTCTTTGTGTTATTGGAACAAGGTAATGATTTTCAAAATGACATTTTCATACCTGCATACTATGTGCTTTGGTCATATTTACCTCCATCCCCCTCTCTTGACCCCTTGCCTCATCTTACTGGCTCCCTTCCCCTAAAAAGTCCCCATCCAGCTTTCATATATTTTTTAATGTAGATTTTGTTTATGAGAGAAAAATGCAATATTTGTCTTTCTGTGGTTGGCTTATTTCTTATAAAAGAATGTTCTGCAGTTCCATTCATTTTCCTGTGAATGACATAATTTCATTCTTCTTTATGACTGAATAGTATTCCATTTTGTATATATGCCACATTCTCTTTATCCATTCATCTATTGGTAGGCATATAGACTGATTCCATGGGTTGGCTACTGTGACTAGTGCAGCAATAAACATGGGTGTATAGTTATCTCTACTGTATGCTGACTTACATTCCTCTGAGTATATCCCCACGGGTGGTATAGCAGTATTATATTGTACTTCCATTTTTAGTTTTGTGAGGAACTTCCATACTATTTTCCCTAGTGGCTGCACTAATTTACACTTCCAGTAACAGTGCATAAGGGGTCCTCCACCCACCACTGATACTGTATTCACTCATCATTGTTTCTTGTTTTCTCAATGATGCCATGCTGACTGGGCTGAGATAGAATCTCAGTGTCGTTTTGATTTGCATTTCCTTCATGACTAAGAGTGTCTAACATTTTTTCATGTATTTACCAGTCATTTGTGCTTCTTGTTTTGAGAATTGTCTGTTCATTTACTGATTGGATCATTTATTCTTTTGATGTTTAATTTTTTGAGTTCTCTGTATGTTCTGGATATTAATCCCCCATCAGATGAATAGCTAGCAAAGGTGTTCTCCCATTCTTCAGGCTGTCTTTCACCCTGGTAATTGTGAAAACTAGTTTTGCAGTTAGAATTTTATTTCAGAATTTGGCGAATTTCTCAAAATGTATTAAACTTTCCATCTTTTCTTAAAAACATGTCCTTTGTATTGGCTATTTTTTGTTCTCTAAAAGAAAGTAAACAGTATAGTGTTCCTTACTTATAAAAAGTTCATATTCCCTTTTAATGTCATGACTAAATTTTCTTAAGAAACAAGGAGAAACAATCACAGTTGTTAATCAAATATAAAACTAAGTGAATAGATTCACCATGCAATACATGTGAAAGTGAATATTTTTTCCTTTTTTCCAGGACCTACCGAGGAAGAGCATATTTTAAAAAGCAGTTGTTTAAAAAAGCAATTGAAGACTTTGCTGCTGCTATCCATTTAGACCCTAATAACTGGTTAGCACTGTATTACAGAGCTTGCTTATTTAGGAAGACTAATCCTTATAGAGCGCTACAAGACTACAGTGTGTCAGGTATTGTCTTCAACTGTACATAAGAATCTGACCTGAGGCTCAGTAACTCAGTTTCATACAGGGGAGTGCCGATGGCTGACCACTACATATCAGTGTACACATATGATTGCATACTTAGATATTTAAATAGATTTATTTGCAATACACTATTATAATATATCCGGACATGTAAGTCACAATGGTTGAGCTACAAGATCCTCCATTGCTGCTCACTCTCACTGCTGTGGATACCATTCTGGTTTGCTTTTCCCCAATTATTTCCTTCATTCCCCAATGTAACAACACAGGTGTGCTGTGTACCATGCTGTTACAGGACAGTTTAGGTTCAGAGGATAAACACAGCACAACAACTTCTGTAGGTTTATCTGGCTCTACTGGCCTTGTCCATCTGCCGTGCCCATCTAGTTAAATCCCTTTCTCTCTGGTCTTTGTCTAAAGGCTTTGTCCTCATATTTCCTTCTTCTCTAAATTTTGGGCTTTTCAGTCCCTCCACCTGCTTGTAGATTATTCCAGTAATTCAAAGCATCTATTGTTTAATTGTTCAGAGTAGAGCTGCTGGATTTCGGCCTCAATCCTTTCCTTTATGCTAACCTAAGGATTTTATCATCCATAACCAAAAAAGGACAGTAACCTGATCATAATTATAGTATCTGACCTTTGTTAGTCATTTTTATTTTTGTTTATTATTATTATTTTGTTGTTATTTTGGTGGTACTGAGGTTTGAACTCAGGGCCTCACACTTGCTAGGCAGATGCTCTACCACTTGAGCCATACCTCCAGTCCTTTTTTAAGTTTTTGTTTGTTTGTTTGTTTCAACTAGAGGCTCAAGTTTAGTCCAGGGCCTCAAACCACAATCCTCTTACCTAAAACTTCCCACATAGCTAGGACTGGGGTGAGCTTACTGGCTGAGATTGGGGTCTTGCTAACTTTTTGCTTAGTGTGACTTCAAAGCAAAATCCTCCTGATCTCTGCCTCATCAGGAGCTGGGATTATAGGTGTGAGCCCCACCACTTGACTTTTATTGGGCATTTGACTATTTCTAAGCACGAAGAGCTGTAAAAGGAATATCTCAATTAATATTCAAATAATGAAATGGAAAGAAAACCTGGATTCCAAGATGGCGGCTAGAAGGAAGAAGCAGAAAGCGAGCCTCTTATAGTGAAATCTTGGAGAGACACTGGAGACACACTTTGCAGGCAAAATCACCGAGAAGAGGCAAAACTTTGACCTCTCCACACCTCCAGCCAGCACAGAGGATCTCCACTTCATGTTAAATGGAGAAACAAGGAGGGCCCCTGGGCTGACACATAGCAAAGAGGGTGGGGTGCACTGAGCACTGAAGATTGGGGGAAGGGAATCCTTCTGGGAACTGTAAATAAACAAGCCGGGCAGGCTGGAGAGGCTCTGGCGGGAGCGGGGGCACGTGCCCAGCAACCAGGAACAGGAAAGTTTGTGAGAGTGGCAGAGGGAGGAAAACTCCACAGGAGAGGAGGGAAGACTCACTCCCCACGTGAACTGTAAACAAACATGGTGGCTGGCAAGAGCAGCAGCACCGCCCAGTAATCAGGAGCAGGAAAGCTTGTGAAAGTGGCGGTGGGAGGAAAACTGCACAGGAGAGGGGGGAAGACCCACTTCCCACATGAACTGTAAATAAACATGCAGGCCTGAGAATGCAGGTGTAGTGTCACCTTCCCCAGTGTGCTTGGAAAGGGGAAAGCTTGTAGCAGAGGCTCACGCACAGGAGAACTCTGAGTAAACAAAACCTGCAGGGCCAGGTGAGTACTAAGCTCACCCCAGAGATCTGCATAAACAACGCCTCCAGCAACAGCAGGCTGACAGCAGCAGGCAGGCAAGCCACAGCCGTAGATACCATTCTCAGAATTGTCTCCAGACTTTTTTTTTTTCTCTTTTTCTCCCTACCTTTGATGAGAGAACAACTGAATTGCACCTGCATGCTGAAAAACTTACTGAAACTGTATTGCATTTGAACTTGGGACATTTGGTGGGGTTTGTGTGTGTGTGTGTGTGTGTGTGTGTGTGTGTGTGTAGTTTTGTTCTACTTTATTCATCCCCTTTGATGAGACAACTACAGAACAACATCTGAGGCACCATCTCCAGGACTGGAGACTGAGATGGACACCAACATTATTAAGACTGAAACTTCATTGCATTTGAACTTGGAGGTTTTTTGGTTTTTTAAAAATTTTTCTATTTTTCATTTCATTTTATTTTTCATTTACTTATTTTTTTATTTCTCATCTTTTTTTTATTTTTTATTTCAATCCTCTCTCTGTCTCTCTAATGCCTGTTCAGCTGTCAATTACTACACTAATGTTCCCTGTTTATACCTTTGAAACTTTCTTGTCTGATTCCTTGTTCCATTTTCTCCTTCTTGTCTGTTTACTTGTTTTTCCCTTTTCTTTAACTTCTTGCTTTCCATCTCTGCTCACCCTTCCATTCTAAATATCACCATTGTTATTATTACAAGCTAGAAAATACTTAATTGCACACAGTACAGGGACAGTAATAACACCAAAGACAATGACGGGAAGACAGAAAAAACAGGGAAACCAGTTTCCCCACAGCAAAAAATTAGTACAGGAACCAGAGGGTAATGAAGAAAACAGATACTCAGAGCCAGACTCCAACAAAATGAAGATAAACTATGCCAAAGGACTCAATGAAGCCCCCAAGAATAATTTAAATACTACAGGTACACAATGAGAATTTTATAGAGATGATACTGGATAGGGTCAACCAAAATGTACAGGACACAATCAAGAAATTCCAAGACAACAAAAATAGAGAATTTGAAAAAGCAAAAGAAGAAATAAAGGAAACCATAGAAGCACTGTATAAACACCAAAGTGAAACAGCGAACACAACAAATTAACAGATAAATGAACTCAGAACAAAAATAGACAACATAAAAGAGGAAACCACCCAAGATATGGAAAACCTCAGAAAAAAGAATGAAACAGAACTGCAAAACAAAACAGAAGGCCAATCCTGCAGAATAGAACAAACAGAAGACGGAATCTCAGAACTTGAAGATGAAATGGTAAAGGAAAAACCGAAGAACTATTAATTAAACAACTCAAGACCTGTGAAAAGAAAATGCAAGAACTCACCGGCTCCATCAAAAGACCAAACTTGAGAATCATGGGCATCGAAGAAGGAGAAGAGGTGCAAGCAAAGGGAATGCATGATATATTTAACAAAATAATAATGGAAAATTTCCCAAATCTAGAGAAAGATATTCCCGTACACATGCAAGAGGCCTTCAGGACACCAAACAGACCAGATCGAAATAGAACTACCCCATGACATATCATCATTAAAACAACAAGTTCAGAAATTAAGGAAAGAATATTGAAGGCTGTAAGAGAGAAAAACAAGTAACATACAAAGGTAAACCCATCAAAATCACAGCAGACTTCTCAACAGAAACATTAAAAGCAAGAAGAGCGTGGGGTGAGATCTTCCGGGCACTGAATGAAAATAACTTCAACCCCAGGATACTCTACCCAGCAAAACTATCATTCAAAATAGATGGAGCAATAAAAGTCTTCCATGATAAGCAGAAACTAAAACAATATGTGACCACAAAGCCACCACTACAAAAGATTCTTCAAGGGATTCTGCACACAGAAAGTGAAACCCAATTAACCATGAAAAGACAGGCAGCACCAAACCACAGGAAAAGAAAAAGCAAGACAGTAGAGAGTAACCTCAACTTAGGTACACACAATCAAACCTTCAAACAACTAAGACAACTAAATGACAGGAATCACCACATACCTATCAGTACTAACACTTAATGTTAACGGACTTAATTCACCCATCAAAAGGCACTGCTTGATGAAATGGATTAAAAAGGAAGATCCAACAATTTGTTGCTTACAGGAGACCCATCTCACCGACAGAAATAAGCATATGCTTAGGATGAAAGGCTGGAAGAAGATTTACCAAGCCAATGGCCCCTGAAAACAGGCAGGAGTAGCAATACTTATCTCTGACAAAGTAGACTTCAAACCTACATTGATCAAATGAGATAAAGAAGGACATTCCATACTAATAAAAGGGGAAATAGACCAAAAGGAAATAATAATCATCAACCTGTATGCACCCAATGTCAATGCACCCAATTTCATCAAACATACCCTGAAAGACCTAAAAGCATATATTAACTCCAACACAGTGGTTGTGGGAGACTTTAACACCCCATTATCATCAATAGATAGGTCATCCAAACAAAAAATCAATAAAGAAATCCAAGATCTAAAAATACAATAGATCAAATGGACCTAGTGATGTCTACAGAACATTTCATCCAACTCTACACAATATACATTCTTCTCAGCAGCCCATGGAACCTTCTCCAAAATAGATCATATCCTAGGGCACAAAGCAAGCCTCAGCAAATATAAGAAAATAGAAATTATACTGTGCATACTATCTGATCACAATGCAGTAAAAGTAGAACTCAACAACAAAAGTAAAGACAAAAACATGCAAACAGCTGGAAACTAAATAACTCATTACTTAATAAACAATGGATCATTGATGAAATAAATGAGAAAATTAAAAAGTTCCTGGAAGTCAATGAAAATGAAAACACAACCTACCGGAACCTATGGGACACAGCAAAGGCAGTCCTGAGAGGAAAGTTTATAGCCATGAGTGCATATATTAAAAAGACTGAAAGATCCCAAATCAATGACCTAATGATACATCTCAAACTCCTAGAAAAACAAGAACAAGCAAATCCCAAAACAAATAGAAGGAGAGAAATAATAAAAATAAGAGCTGAAATCAGCGAAATAGAAACCAAAAAAACCATACAAAGAATTAATGAAACAAAAAGTTGGTTCTTTGAAAAAATAAACAAGATCAACAGACCACTGGCAAACCTGACTAAAATGAGGAGAGAAAAAACCCAAAGTAGAATCAGGAATGCAAAAAGGGAGATAACAACAAATGCCATGGAAGTCCTGGAAATCATCAGAGACTACTTCGAGAACCTATATTCAAATAAATTTGAAAATCTTAAGGAAACGGACAGATTTCTAGATACATATGATCATCCAAAACTGAACCAAGAGGAAATTAATCACCTGAATAGACCTATAACACAAAATGAAATTGAAGCAGCAATCAAGAGTCTCCCCAAAAAGAAAAGTCCAGGACCTGATGGATTCTCTGCTGAATTCTATCAGACCTTTAAAGAAGAACTGATACCAACCCTCCTTAAACTGTTCCACGAAATAGAAAGGGAAGGAAAACTGCCAAACACATTTTATGAAGCCAGTATTACACTTATCCCAAAACCAGGCAAAGGCACCTCCAAAAAGGAGAACTATAGGCCAATCTCCTTAATGAACATTGATGCAAAAATCCTCAACAAAATAATGGCAAACCGAATTCAGCAACACATCAAAAAGATTATTCACCACGACCAAGTAGGCTTCATCCCAGGAATGCAGGGGTGGTTCAACATACGAAAATCAATAAACGTAATAAACCACATTAACAGAAGCAAAGACAAAAACCACTTGATCATCTCAATAGATGCAGAAAAAGCCTTTGATAAGATCCAACACCATTTCATGATAAAAGCTCTAAGAAAACTAGGAATAGAAGGAAAGTTCCTCAACATTATAAAAGCTATATATGACAAACCTACAGCCAGCATTATACTTAATGGAGAAAAACTGAAACCATTCCCTCTAAAATCAGGAACAGACAAGGATGCCCACTATCTCCACTCCTATTCAACATAGTACTGGAATTCCTAGCCAGAGCAATTAGGCAAGAAGAAGGAATAAAAGGAATACAAATAGGTAAAGAAACTGTCAAAATATCCCTATTTGCAGATGACATGAATACCTTAAAGACCCAAAAAACTCTACTCAGAAGCTCTAGACATCATCAATAGCTATAGCAAGGTAGCAGGATATAAAATCAACATAGAAAAATCATTAGCATTTCTATACACTAACAATGAGCAAACTGAAAAAGAATGTATGAAAACAATTCCATTTACAATAGCCTCAAAAAAAATCAAATACCTAGGTGTAAACCTAACAAAAGATGTGAAGACCTCTACAAGGAAAACTATAAACTTCTGAAGAAAGAGATTGAGGAAGACTATAGAAAGTGGAGAGATCTCCCATGCTCATGGATTGGTAGAATCAACATAGTAAAAATGTCTATACTCCCAAAAGTAATCTACATGTTTAATGCAATTCCCATCAAAATTCCAATGACATTCATTAAAGAGATTGAAAAATCTACCATGAAATTTATATGGAAACACAAGAGGCCACGAATAGCCAAGGCAATAAGTCAAAAGAACAATGCTGGAGGTATCACGATACCTGACTTCAAACTATATTACAAAGCAATAACAATAAAAACAGCATGGTACTGGCACAAAAACCGACATGAAGACCAGTGGAACAGAATAAAGGACCTAGATATGAAGCCACACAACTATAACCAACTTGTCTTTGACAAAGGAGCTAAAAATATGCGATGGAGTAATAGCAGCTTCTTCAACAAAAACTGCTGGGAAAACTGGTTAGCAGTCTGCAAAAAACTGAAACTAGATCCATGTATATCACCCTATACCAATATTAACTAAAAATGGATCAAGGATCTTAATATCAGACCACAAACTCTTAAGTTGATACAGGAAAGAGTAGGAAATACTCTGGAGTTAGTAGGTATAGGTAAGAACTTTCTCAATGAAACCCCAGCAGCACAGCAACTAAGAGATAGCATAGATAAATGGGACCTCATAAAACTAAAAAGCTTCTGTTCATCAAAAGAAATGGTCTCTAAACTGAAGAGAACACCCACAGAGTGGGAGAAAATATTTGCCAGCTACACATCAGACAAAGGACTGATAACCAGAATATATAGGGAACTTAAAAAACTAAATTCTCCCAAAACTAATGAACCAATAAAGAAATGGGCAAGTGAACTAAACAGAACTTTCTCAAAAGAAGAAATTCAAATGGCCAGAAAACACATGAAAAAATGCTCACCATCTCTAGCAATAAAGGAAATGCAAATTAAAACCATGCTAAGATTCCACCTTACCCCTGTTAGAATAGCCATCATCAGCAACACCACCAACAACAGGTGTTGGCGAGGATGCGGGGAAAAAGGAACCCTCTTACACCGTTGGTGGGAATGTAGACTAGTACAACCACTCTGGAAAAATATTTGGAGGCTACTTAAAAAGCTAGACATCGATCTACCATTTGATCCAGCAATACCACTCTTGGGGATATACCCAAAAGACTGTGACACAGGTTACTCCAGAGGCACCTGCACACCCATGTTTATTGCAGCACTATTCACAATAGCCAAGTTATGGAAACAGCCAAGATGCCCCACCACTGACGAATGGATTAAGAAAATGTGGTATCTATACACAATGGAATTTTATGCAGCCATGAAGAAGAATGAAATGTTATCATTCACTGGTAAATGGATGAAATTGGAGAACATCATTCTGGGTGAGGTTAGCCTGGCCCAAAAGACCAAAAATCGTATGTTCTCCCTTATATGTGGACATTAGGTCAAGGGCAAACACAACAAGGGGATTGGACTTTGAGCACATGATAAAAGCAAGAGCACACAAGGGAGGGGTGAGGATAGGTAAGACACGTAAAAACCTAGCTAGCATTTGTTGCCCTTAACGCAGAGAAACTAAAGCAGATAACTTAAAAGCGACTGAGGCCAATAGGAAAAGGGGACCAGGACTAGAGAATAGGTTAGATCAAAGAGAATTAACCTAGAAGGCAACACACACGCACAGGTAATCAATGTGAATCAACTCCCTGTATAGCTATCCTTATCTCAACCAGGAACACTTGTTCCTTCCTATTATTGCTTATACTCTCTCTACAACAAAATTAGAAATAAGGGCAAAATAGTTTCTGCTGGGTATTGAGGGGGTAGGGGGGAGAGGGAGGGAGCGGAGTGGGTGGTAAGGGAGGGGGTGGGGGCAGGGGGAGAAATGACCCAAGCCTTGTATGCACACAGGAATAATAAAACAAAACAAAACAAAACAAAAGAAAACATCACTAAAAGGGCTGGTGGAGCAGCTCAAGATGTAGGCTGAGTTCAAACCCCACCTAGTACTGGGAAGAAAAAAAAATGTCTATACTTTTTTACAATTGTTCTTAAAGTCTGTTACAACTTATCTGCCCAACCACTCATTGTATTAAATTTTTGAAACTTCAAATAAGCAATTTTTTTGGAAAATTTCATTAAATTTCTATTTTAAAAAAGGCAGAGTAGTGGGGAAGATAAACATATGGTCTCTGGAGTCAGACTGCCTGGGTTCACCATTTATTAGGCATGTGACCAAGGACAAGTTACTTACCCTTCCGTCCAATTTCCTCATCTGTAAATGGAAATAATTCTTATCTAATGAAGTTTGTGTAAGAGTTCAGCAGACTTATAGATGTGCCCAGTTCACAGCAAATGCTTAATAATATTGCCTATATACAGATTAATTTCGAGTGTAAAATTAAATATTACTAATTTCTGTAAAGAAGAAAATCTTTGCCTCCCGTCTGTTTATACATTTCTTTGCTGAAGATCTCTTAATGAGATTTGAGTCCCATTAAGAGATGAGTAAGTTGTGTCATTTTGTGCTCTGAAATGGATAAATTCTTAATATAAGTGAAATTAATGAGTAAAAATAAATAAATAAATAAATGAAGGCCTGGGGCCATGGCTGAGTGGTAAGTGCTAGCTTAGCCAGCATGGGCCCTAGGTTTGATACCCAGCCACCTCAGGGGCAGGGGTTGGAAAAAGGCAGAAACCCAAATGATGGTTTATGAGGTAGGTACTATGAGCATCCACGTTTTACTGATGAGAAAACCAATGTATAGAGAGGTGAAATGGCTCTAATATTCTGTTTCTTTGGGAAAATTTTTCCCATTTTCCCAGAGCAGGCACACCACAGCTGACGTTTTCCCTGCTGGCCAATCATAGTGTGAACTGACCAGTAGGATTGCTTTCCAGTGGTTGTTTGTGTCCTCTGCACGATCACTGCTGACCCTGGTTACACTTCTCAGCCTCCAGTACTGAGACTGTCTCTTCCCAGACTGTGAATATTTTGGGCAGAAATTTTCCTCCTAAACCAGAATAGTCTTGAGAAACTTAGACGATATGGGTCAAATCTTGTCTAATCCACTAGCATGGTTTTGAAAGTGCAGGGGGCAGCTTCTAGGCTGGGTACTGATGACAGTCACACATCTGGAGCACTGACAGCCCCTTGCTTCAGAGTAGCCTCTTTGCAGCTGCACATCCTGGCTTATGAGTAAAGCTGACTTGTTACAAGTATCCTGCTCTGGGCATATGGTCTGAGTCTGGTCTTTGGCCAGTGCTGGAGTCTTTGCAAGACTAACAGGTCATTGCTGGTAATAGTGCCCTATTGATTGGAATTAGATACTAGGCCTATCTTTGATCCAACTCACAATATAACCCTGGTCAATGTACTTCACCTCTTTGGACCTTAATCTCCTCATTTGTAAAATGAGTGGACTGCAATAGATTGTCACCAGGATTTCTCCCAGCCTTAATGAGTATGTGAGTCATAACAGGCACATTAGCCTCACACTTTTCTGTATAATGCTATCTTGTACTCACCAAATACGTATGTATACTCATCATAGATATGTTTTATTTTATGTAATATTAAACAAATAAGAATAAAGAACAGGAAGGGTGTAAACTAAAACATGACTCAGATATTGTTTTTCAGAAACTGAATAAAATGCTTTTATTTTTAAGCTCTCATAAATGATGGATATGAGAATTTTAGTTGTTTTCTACATCGGGGGATACTCTACACACACCTGAAACTTTGGTTGCTGGCAATTTGTGACTTTGAAACTGTTATTTCTCTAGAAAGGTAAGTTTTCCTTTTCATATATATTTCCCTTTTGTATGAAATTAAGAAAATGAAAGAAAAAGGTTTCTTTCCTCAACATTGTTAACTTATTAGAAAGTGAGCCATAATTACAAAGTTGTACTAGAATTAGAATACCACTCAAAATAAGACTATTGCTAAAATAAAACTTATTTTAGATGCTTTTGCAAATTTTACAGGTTTAATGGGTTTGAGAAAAGTTATGTATGGATAATAAATCAATAGATTAATAGGATGGATTCAATGATGGGCTAGAACTTTTTGAAGTTAACTCACTGGAAAAGTGTCACCAAGTTAAAAAATAATGACAAAATATTCTGCTTGATGTATCATTGCTATGCACAACATACAACTCAATGGAAGGAAACCCTCTGTTTCAAACGCCTGACTTCATTTTTGTTTAGAAATGTAAAAGCCAGTACTATTTACACCATAGGTCCAGGAAGAAACACAGGTTGAAAGTTCAACACATTAGTCAGAAAGCCAGCCATAAAATATAGAATTAAATTAAATAATCCCTCTCCTTTGCAATGAAGCATTCATTAAAATGGAAGTTGTTAGAAAGAGCAACAAATCATTCTAATTCCGTGCCAACCAGCAGCTTGTGTACTTAGCTATCGAAGGTAAACTTTGAATTTGACTTAGGAAAGTCATAGAGCATAGTTCCATAAAGATCACAGTGGCTTTCTTTTGGATATTTTCAAGTCAGTCAGGAAAAGGAAAGAGTTTCGGGTGCAAAGAGTTAGAACGTAGATGGTAGGAACCTGATGCCCAGGCAAAGGGTCAGGGTTTTCATGGTGTTGGACTATAGGAAATGCAGTTTCCTCATCTTGGAATAACAGAATTGGAGATAGTAATGTCTAAGGCTGTTCCCATACAAAACACCATTTGCGTCTAAGAGAAAAATGACGTATGTTTGAGATACAAAGGCAGCTGTGTGAATGCCAATGCAGAGAGGATTTTTAACCCTAAGTCGCCAAACCATACAATATTAATTAGTTTTTCACTCTTACTTACAGCCTGGGGCAAAGACTTTGAGTTGAGGAAAGCTAATTTTGTAATTCAAGATAATTCAAGATTAAGACAAGGAAGAGTATTGCTGAGTCTAGACTTCTTTAATTCTGTTCCTGGCATAGACTCTACAATTGTTAATGCCCTATCAAGAATTTATAAAAAAGTGTTTATAATTTTCAAGAGAATGCAGTAAACTAATTTTATATTGCTTTAGTAAAACATTAAAAATTACCCTGATACATTGATGCATGTATTTTATTATGTTTTTTCATAATTGGGAACATGTGAAATCATTTAAAGTGCCTAACAAGACCTCACGTTCTCATTTTTTTAGAACTGTTATTTTGGCTCATATAAATATTGGCCTCATATACCTGCTGCACCTGGATAACTACACTGAAGCCATTTGGCATTTTTCTGAAGCTATTAAAATTGATCCTTTATATATTCAAAGCTATATCTGTAAGGCAGAATCCTACCATAAGGTATTTAAGGTTTGACAATCTTGAATTTTAGATAAGCTTTAATTTTTGAATATTTGTTTAATACACTTTACACTGCGTGAATGTATTATTTTCTTTAGTAACTGCAGAGGCTGGTGGAGCAATGTGCAGTGAATGTTAAGCAGATACAGTTAAACTATAATTAGCTACTCAGAAAGCCTTTTGCTTTTAAAATAGAATATATTTATTGTAGGTAATATGTTCATGCAAATAAGAATAAATATCTTTATGAAAATTAATAAATTAAAAGCTATCCACAATTTCATTCTCTAGAGATAACTACTCCTACCATTTTAAACCTATTGGTCCAATGTTTGTGTGTATGCTTGGAGTGTGTGTGTGTGTGTACTGGTGAGTGAGTAGGTTCATTGAATGGGATCTATGTATAGAATAGCATTGTAATCATTAATATTTTCCTTTAAATTTTATTTAATTGTTACAAGTTATTTAAGTTAAAAAAGTGTCATGTGTCTTTAGTATAACAAATTCAAACAATTCAGTAGAACCAACTCCAACCAAATCTGACTTTTCAGAGATAACCAGTGCTACTTCTCATCTCTACTTCTCATATAGTTACCTGTTCCACCTCTTGGTCACTAACTGCCCTCTCTAAGACTCCCGTCCCTCAGCAGGATTAGGGCAGTAGTCTCCTGGTCTTTTTGCTTCTGCTCTTTAATACTTTCAATGGAATTACAACACAGCAGACTCAGTGATCCTACCAAACATAAGTCAGTTTTATTTTACTTCTCTGCTTGAAAACCTTTTAGAGCTTCCTTTTGCACTTAGAAAGAAAGCTAAATTTTACAAATCCAAAGGCTAGCAAGAGCACACAGAGCTGGCACCTCATTACCATTCTATCCTTGTTTCTTACAAGTCCTCTGGGACACACTGCTTCAGTCAGACTAAGATAGGTTACACTAGCAAAAAAACAAACCCCAAAATTGCCCTTTTTAAACAACAAAGTCTTGTTTTTTGCTCACACTACATTTACATTTAGGATTACTGGGAGTTCTGCTTCCATTGTCTGTATCTCAGGACTCAGTGTGACTAGAGTCCCATTCAAAGTCCTTACCTTCCAGATGATGGAGGAAGAAGACCTAGGACAGGTTCAGTATTGCCCCAGTGTTGCCCTGTTGGAGAAGATATGGGCATGCTTATAGTGTGTGCATCTTTTAATTAGTCTAATTCTGTTGATGAAGCTCAGGCCATTTGGGGAAGTTGGCATTTCCTTAACACTCATAGAAACTAATACACCAGCATGATAGCAGGATGTAAGCATATATATTCAAAGACTCTTTGCTCTGAGAGGCAAAAAATATGTACAGAGTAATGACTGAATACATTTTTGTGTATGCATACTGTGGACTGTGACATTCAGTAAAAAAGAATAAATAGAACCATGCCAGCTGACTTGGAGAAATTTCAGTGAGCTATTTTGAATAAGAACAGCAAAATTCAGAAAAGAACGTAAAATATATGTACAATATGATTCCACATAAATAAAATAATTCTAAATCAAACCCTGTGTGGGCTCAGCTGTTACCGTGAATTTAATCTAAGGCTGCCTGGAGAGGTCAATACCAGGGAAGCTTGTAAGTTCAGAGTGAGCCTCTGCCCCAAACCAATTTTTACTCAATCAATGCATGGATATTGATGGTTGGTAGGACAGGTGGACATATGACTGGATGGTTTATAAATTGTACCAACCTGAGCTGGGACAGATTAAGAAGCAACAACCCTGAAGTTCCCCAGAAGTTGTCAAAGTTGTTTAAATAAATATCAGACTTTCTCTTTTGGGGTTTCCTCTTTTGATTCTACCCACTATTTCCTCCAAAGGGCTTGTGCTATTTCTACAGTTACTGGTTACTTCCATGTATAGATGGATTTTGGATATTCTTTTTGATACATCATCATGTCATTCTATTTAGAGGAGTGGGTGTTCCAGGTAAATTTTCTGTGTCTGTGAAGTGTTCCTTTGCACATATCTCCAGTGGTAGTTGAGTTTTTAAAAATTTATTTATTTATTTATTTATTCACATGTGCATACATTGTTTGGGCCATTTCAATTGGCATACTTGGATAGCACAAGGGGATTTCATTGTGATAATTCCATAGATGTGTACAGTACTTTGAACAAGCTCACCCCTTCCTTGTATTTCCTTATTCACCTTCTCTCCAGTGGTAGCTGATTTTTTGTCTCCAGATGAATACAAATTCAGACTGTTTCTGTGACCAGTATTAAAGAGTCAATGTTTACTGATCACTATATATTAATGTTAAGTGTATCTCTTTTATGAAATTCCTATAATTTATTCATTCGTTTGCTTAATTTTGGTGCAAACTTGGCTTCTCTCTTCTTTTTTTAGTGAAATTAATTTTTTATTTTACCAGCTTTTGCGTGCTAGTTTATTAACATAGGTGATGTTTGGTGAAACAGGTGCTATGGTTGAGAAAGAAAAACTGAGAAATTAAATGAAAAAAAAGAAGACACATTCAAAGTAGAATGCATCCCATAATTACCTTAATGTAAAATGATACATGTGTAGATATATGTAATCATTCTTCAAAATAATTTTAAACAATCAAAAGACTTTGCATCATACACATTTGTTTTTACTTCTCTGTATCATATTTGTTTTGATGACTCTTAAAGGAATAAGTGTTTTAGGAGCTGTCCCTGCAAATTTTTCACAGTACAATTGTGGGAGGGGATAAACACCAGGAAGGAAACAATTAACTTCATTAGAACCTAATTTTCTGTTTATCATTCAACAGTTGCATAAATTGAAAAGGGCAGTAAGTGAGTTATCTCGTGCTATTCACCTTCATCCAGATGAAATCGAATTATATATAATAAGGTATGAGCACAGAAATTGAATTTTTGGGATAATGTAGCATCCGAGAAAGCTACTGGAATCTTTAGTTCTCTCTTGATTCTTCCAGTCTTTCATTTTACATTCAATCTCTAAGCAATGCCTATCTTCCCACATGTAGTTCCTATTTTGATTAAAAGATAACTTATTACGTAAAATAACCAGATCTTTCCTTTTTGCTGTCCCATTGAATCAAAAAACAACTGCTCAGTGTTATGTTCTTTGGAGGCCTTTCTAAGTGGCTATATGGTTATCACATATCTCATAATAGTAAGATAATACTTTTTGGTTTTACAAATTTACCTAACGTAACCCTCATCTAATTCAGTGTGGAAAAAGTGACACAGATATGTATTTCAGATCTATAGAGCTTTCTATAAAGAGACCTATGGCAAGTTATCACTACAAAAAACAGTATCATCTCGGGATTAATTGACCCGGTTTTATGGGATGGAGCAATACTTTCTGATAAAAGCTTACTTTAAATTGAACCACATTTTAGAAATTTATGTAAATACTTTACCCTTTTATATTCCAGTAATCAAACACAACATTTTAAATATAGAGAGTGGCAAAAAAGAGATTTGAGTATTTTAAGTATCACATTTTCAAAATTGTTTCCTTATCATATCACCATGTTAATTGGCTTATTTAGAATATAAAAATCCATAATTTTCACATTGCTTTTTATGCATACTTATGTAAATATAAATGACTATTGTAATTCTAAAAAAATTAACTAACTGATTATAAGAAACTTTATCTTAGAAAAATTATTTTAGCTGCTTAGAATAAAAAAGCTCTGATTTCTTCCAGAGGACAATATCTTCTTATGATGAGGTGTTTTGACCTTGCAAAGTTCACTATTTATCAAATCTCAGAAATGAACAAAGGTAAATATAATTAATGCAAAATTCAGATAGTTTTAACTTAGGAAATAACTCTAAAAATTTTGTACCATTGATAATACCTATGTATTGGTGACATGAAGGCTTCATCTGAAAGACAAGGATTTTGAAACTTCAGGTTCACATGTGACCAATCAACTGGTAAAATGATTCTCATGAATCATTTTGTAGTGACTTTTGTGGGAGAGGTTATTGTGGGATGTATCAGGCTTGCAGTTATTTGGCTTGTAATTGGAATGACATTATTTTCTGGAATAAAACAGATTTTAGTATAATATTGATTTGTTAATTCATATTGTTATTATTATTGAGAATATTGAATTCTGGGATTTCCTTGAAATAACCCTATTCAAAACCTTTGATACTTGGCAAAGGTATTGATAAACTTTCCTTTCATTTTAGGTCTCATTGAGTTGAGCCCAGTACAGCAAGCGCTCATTTATTCATTTTGTGAAAAGCATGACAAGGCCATCCAGGTCTTAGATGGGATCATGTTGAATAAACCAGAGATAATTATGTATGCAGTGTTAGCCAAAGCCCAAATGAAAGCTAAGAAAATCAAGGTGAAAGTCTCCTGACTAATGTTTATTAAACCAATTAATGCAATTTATGTATTGTGCTTACTATGACATTTAAATACTTTGTTTCAAATCTAAAGTACGCTACTTGTTTATGCACTATTTGTGTATTCTTCTATTGACTAACATTGGAATTTTTCCTTTTAAGAACAAGGCAGCTTCAAATATTCTTTTTTTTCAAGTCCTTTGTTAATATGTGAAGAAGTTTTTCAGGATATATTTCTAGAGTGACGTATTTTTCCCATGGGGTTCTATCAATTTATGGTCCCACCTGTCAGTGTTTGTGTGTCTCACTGTGTTCTGAATTCAGTTTTTCAGTTTGGGTATGAGCATCTTTCTGTGTTGATTAGTCACTCATATTTCCTGTTTTATCACTTTCTTACACATTTTTGTTTGTTTTATTCTGACTGATTTTAGTTCTTTAAGAAATAAACTGTATCTACCACTCCTTGGTTGTGTGCCATGTTTCCTCTCAGAATTTCTGATTTATCTCTTGATAATCTTTTGTGTGTTTTGATGAACAGACAATTTTAATTTTATGTAGTTGAATATATCTGTTTTTAGTTTTATTGTCGGGGCTTTAAAAAAAAAATCTCGTTTAAGTTCTTTTCTGTGCTAAAGTCATTAAGATTTTATCCTGTATTTTCTTGGAAATGTTTTAAGTTTTTTTTTATTTAAGACTATCTTTAGGTGATTTTTTTAAATTAAAAAATTAAATTCATATTAAAATGATACATAAATACATTAAAATTATGCATAGTAGTCTGGTACCATATAATGTCTTGATTCATGTATGCATTTCATAAAGTTTAAGTCAGGTTTAAATCATTTAAATTCTCAAGCATTTGTCATTTCTTTATGGAGAAAACTTTCAAAAATCCTTTCTTCTAGATTTTTAAGATATATAGTACATTATCATTCCTTATGATCATCTGTTTGTACAGCAGCACACCAGGACTTCTTGCTCCCATGTTACTTAGCATTCATTGATCAACCTTTCCTCACCCTTCCCCCTACTCTTCTCTCTCCAGCATCTGGGAACCACCATTCTACTTTCTACTTCTTTGCAATCATTGTGTTTTTTAAGATTTCATATATGAGTGATATCATGTGGTACTTGTCTTTATGTGTCTGGCTTATTTCATTTAGCATAATGATCTCCAATTCCATCCATGTTGCTGCAAATGACAGAGTTTCATTCTTTTATATGGCTGAATACTGTTCCATTGTGTATATATATCATATTTCTTTATCCATCCATCAGCCAGTGGGCATTTTATTATTTCCATTTCTTAGCTCTTATGAATAGTGATGCAATGAACACAGAAGTGTAGATGTTTCTTCATCATAATGATTTCATTTCCTTTGTATTTATATCCAGTGGTAGAATTGCTACATCATATAGTACTTCTGTATTTAATTTTTTTTAAGACTCTCCACACTGTTTTCCAGAATGGCTGAACTAATATGACTCCTGGAAGTAGTATATCTTTTCTTCATGACCTGGCCAACATTGCTGTTTTTAGTTTTTTTGATATTAGCCATTATGACTGGTTTAAAGTGATATCTCATTGTGATTTTGATCTGTCTTTCCCTGATGATTAGCAATGTTGTGTTAGTTACTGATAAGGATGAGGAGGATTTGAGTCTGGCCCTCAGGAGCACTCACTCAATTAGAATGGCACGAGGAGCTGGAGTAATCCCAGGACAGTGTGTTCCCTCCTCCTGAAACAACCGAGACAAATCCAACATGGATGAAGATAGACAAAAGCTAATGAATAAAGACCACCTGCACAGACAAATCACTGTGAATAAGAATTGGCAAGCCTAACCAACCATGATCTTTGACATCTCAGATACAGAATGCAAAATATTTATGACATGTCTCAAAAATAAAGTAGAAATCATGATGATGAAGCAAGGGCAGACCATTAGGAATGACTAGGAAGATTTGAAAACCATCACATGGAACCTCTAAAAGTAAAAAGGATTACTGAAATAAAACAAGAAGACCAAGGTAAAAAATTCATGAACTTGAAGAAAATCCAACAAGGCCGATCCGATTCAGGGATATAGATACAAAGATCCTCACAGCCAAACCAAATTCAGTACTGTATATAAAGGATATATACTCTTATAAAGTTGGTTTAACCTGGGGATGAATACTTGGTCCAAAATTAAAGAATGTATGATATATAATCCAGGATAGTAACATATTAAAGGATAAAGAAAATCATTTCAACACTTGAAGGAAAGATGTGCATAATCATAATACATTATGAAAAAGGCATCATTCTCCTTAAAATATCTGAAGAGTCCATGTATTTTCAATCAAAATTTTGAGAGTTTTTAATGGATTCTGACAAGCTAAATTTGTAATTCATATGGCAGAGGAAAATCTCAAGGATAACCAGGAATTTCTTGGAAAAGAATATGATATGGGGACTTGCTCTACCAGCTATGAAGAATTATAATGAACTGATAATAATTAAGACATTGTACTTTGGGGCCAGAAACAGGGATTTGACCAAAGGAACAGAATAGAAAGCTCAAGGTCATGCATGATGTACACATACAATGAAAACTTACAATATGTAAGACTGTAAATTTTTCTGTTGAGTAGAGCATGTCAATAAATGATCCTGAAATATTCAAATAACAGTGTAGGGAAAACTAAAATTTTTATCAATTTCTCACAATAAAAATCTCAATTAACATTGGGGAAAGGCAGTCTTTTCAATAAACGGTGCTGGGAGAGTTGGATATGCAGAGGAATGAAACAAGACAACTATCTCTAACCAGTTATGAAAATCAACGCTAAATGAATTAAAGACTTAAATGAAACTACTTAGAAAAACACATAGGGAAGACACTTCAAGACATTGAGAAGGGGAAGGATTTTTTTGAACATGACCCCAAAAGCATAGGAAACCACAGGGAAAAAAAAATCACCTGATTGAAAATGGACAATAGATCTAAATAGACATTTCTCAAAAGAAGACATACAAATGGCTGTCAGGCATGTGAAAAAAAAATGCTCAACATCTGTTATGGTTTGCCTATGAAATATCCCCCACTGGCTCATGTGTTGAATGCTTGGTCCCCAGCTGGTGGTTGCTATTTGGAGAGGTGCTGGAAACTTTAGAAAATGGGGCCTCATCACTGGTAGTAGACCACTGGAAGCATGCCTTTGAAGATTGTACCTGGTCTGCAAGCCCCTCTTTGCTTTGCTTCCAGTCTGCACTGAATTGAAGTTCCTCCATGCCATGCACTCCCACTGCCCAAATGCAAGGGGCCAAACAGCCATGGTGAGGCTGCCACAGGCATCCTTCTGCCTCTCTGCTTACTGTGTTACGTACCACTCCAGCTTCAGGTATTGGGGTGTGTGTGTGTGTGTGTGGTGTGTGTGGGTGTGTGTGTTTGTATGTGCATGGTTCTTGAAGACATCCCTAGAAAGTATGTCCAAGAAAATTTCTTTAGCAACATTTAGTCTGCCATGAGGAAGCAGGAGATCTAACTGTTAAAACTTTGGGTTGCTTGTTGTGCATACACATTGCTTTATATTGTGAAATTGAATAGCAGAATGGGTGAACTAAGATTCTTTAAGGTGGTGGTCGTTTTACTGTTGCTGTGAAGCCTTCACTAAATATTATATTTTTTCATAAGATGTCAGATCTGCCAGTTAGGAGACACACAGAATCTAGTTTGTAGTAAGAACACTCTCTATCCAAATTTAGCACCTCTAGATCCTTTTTGGATTTTCGGATGTGTCCTCCATAACACAAAGTTAGAATAGAAGACTGATGATAATACATAGATGACATCTATTAGGCACTTTATATTCATTAGACAGCCAGAGGGCTGGGTGCTATCATGCATCATTTCATTGTCACAACATTGTGCCATTTGAAAATTACCATTTCGTCCACTTCTTAGGAATCTCAGTCCCAATTTGAGCCACCAGTTGAAAATTCCACCTCATTAGCACCTGATTGCTGCCTATGGGACCCAGAGCAGAAGACTCAGTTAAACTATGTTACAGACTCCTGACTATGGAAACAGAGATGATAAATGTGTGTTGTTTAAAATCAGTATTTTTTCATCAATAAGAAACAAATACAGATTTTAGTACTGTATTGAATACCTAAAAATGTGGCAGCAGCTTTGAAACCAAGCAATGGTGTAGAAGCTGGAAGATTTTTAAGGAGTAAGAAAGCTTAAATCATCTTAGGGAGACTTCATTTATATGTGGTTTTTAAAGATGCTGCTCCAGAGAATTCAGAGTAAGGAACATACTACTGGAAGCTGGTGGAGGAAGGATGTTTTCAATGTAGTGATAGAAACCTTAGCAAAAATGTCTCCTGTATTATGCAGAAATCAGAACTAAGTCAGGATCCTGGATATTCAGTTAAGATAACTTCCTGGCTAAGTGTTGCCAGTACTGCCAGGTTTCTTTTTGCTGCCTAACATGTGAGAGGTAAGTTAAAAACTGTTAAACAAAATAAACCAGGACTTGGTGATAATATTTCTCAATCTCCCCAGAAAGCAAATGATGTTAAAAATTAAGACTTTTGCTGCCAGGAAAACATGTTCTAGAGAAAATGACAAGATGCAACTAGACCTTTTGCTAAGATATCAGAAAGATCATAAGGCCAAAATATTCAGTCATTCTACTCCCTTTCAAGAGATTAAGAATATGCTGTATAAATCTTAACCAAACAAGAAGACATCTAAAAGTTTAAAGGTCAAGGATCTCAACAAGAGGCCAAAGTAGAGAACACATTTTCATGTACAAATGAGGGGATGTGTCTTTGTCTGAATGGAGAGAAGGAATGCCTGTGGAGTACAACAAAGGTCTTCAAAGTTCTTAAGAAATTATTGCTTCAGGAATCAGTTTGTACTAGAAGAGAGAGAGAGTACAAAACTAAAGGCTGCCAGACCTTTAAATTGTGCTGGCAGAAAGCAGATTAATGGAATGACTCAGCTGGAGATTGATTCAACCTTTTATAATAATAATAAAAATAAAAACGAAAGGCTGACCCAAAGGACAAGACCAATAACCCATAAGACAGGACTAAGAGCCACAAAGAATTTTTCTCATGCTTCGAAGTCTAAGTAAGACACTGTGAACATTTGCTCAAATGGATTTCCGAGCTGCCATGGCCAGTGATGACTTTTGAACTGGAATGTCTATGGATGTTACCATGTGTCTGTCCCCATTGTATGTGGTACTTTGGTTAGAGATAAGTGGTGTCTTTACTTTTACAGGTCCGCAGATGGAGAGGAATAGTGCACTAGGAAAGGTATTAGTAGGTAACCCTCAAAGGCCTCATCCATACTTGGAGTTGATTTCAATGAGATTTTGGACTTTGAGCTAGTGGAGTAATGTGATGAGGTTTTTGGAGACCTTAGAATGGAGGAACGAATATCACATGTTGCAGAGATATGGAGTCAATCGGGGTCAGAGAGTGGACTGTGGCAGACATGCTCTAAAGTTCCCTCAATGACTCATGCCCTGTATAATTTCTTCCCTCTCTTGAGTACAAGGAAGATGTGTGACTTGCTTGTGCAATATGGCAAAGTTAATGAGATGTCACTCACCTGCTTATGTTACATTATAGAAGACTCCCTCTTAGCAGACTGGAAAGAGTTTCTTGGATTGGCCTGGAAGAAGGAAACTGTGTGTGGTTATGTGGTCATGGAGTAAGGAACTGTGAGTAGCCTCTAGGACCTTAGAACAGCCATCAGCTGGCAAGAAGCCACTGCTCTTAGGCCAGGAGTCTCAAGGAAATAAATTGCTCTAGAAGGTGAATAAACTCAGAAGCTGTTTCTCCCTAGCTGTGTTTCCACAGGAAAATGCAACTCAATTGACTGTGAGACCCAGAGCAGCAGACCTAGCTAAACCATTCCTGATCTCCTGACCTGTGGGAAGCATGAGATAATAATGTATCTTCCTTCAATTTGCTAAATTAGTGGTAATTTCATTTGTAACAATATAAAACAATTATGCCTTGGTTTGGAATGAAGTACTCTTTCTGTTTTCATTGATGACTTCCTTATTGTAAATTCAGTGGTCATTTCTCAGTATGGTGCATTGCCTGTTACCTTCCATACTTGAAGTTGTTGAGCTCTACAACTTCTCAGGAATTCTTTGACTTCCTCCTGCTGCAGTTCCGTATTGCTAGCTGGAAGGTTGACATCACCCTTGAGCTTCTTCCACCAATCAGTGGTGTATTCTGTTGGGCCCACTTTCTAAACATATCTCAAATCTACTTCCTTCTTTATTTCCATGGTCATTTCCCTGGTTCAGAATATGGATATATTCTGAATATGTATATTTACAAATTTTCTTGAATTGTAGACACAGTGTTACACTCTTACAAGCTCTTACCCACAGCAGCTTCAGTACTGTTTTCAGAATACTGACATGCCTCATCTGTAGTCCCTCACTTCCAGGTCTCCCTGAGAAGACTTCAGAGAGTAATGAAGGAGGGAGAGGTGAGAAAGCATCTAAATTTGTTTTTAATTTAAATATACTGAAGAAGGCCTGAGTATACTCAAGTGTTTTATAGATTCAAGGAGACAGTGAAGGGACAGAGGTCCAAAAGAGGAGGGAAATAACAAATTGTGCTTAGACAGGGCAGAGAAGATAGGGTCAAGGAGTGAGCTCTGAAAAGGGAGAAGAAAAGAAGCCAATCAAAGATAGGAAAGAAAAAGGTGAAAATGAATGAAGATGTTGACACATTGGAAAGTAAAAAGGAAGGAAACTGAGAAGATAATCTAACTTTTCTATGGCAAAGCCACCTGCTAAGACTGAGGCCAGAAGAATGGATGTTGAGGTAGGTTGTAAACATGTGGAGTAAATACTAAAGGTGAGCAATGAAATTACAGCAGATTCAAGTCAAACCTCAAGGTTTCTTTAACAATTTAATACAATTAAGAAAATGGGATAACAAGTAGTAAGTATTAGTGTTTCTGTATATGTATTTATATATTGTCAATTATTAAATAACATATCTGGAAAATCAAATTTATTTTTATTAATGGGTTTCAGTTATTTTGACTAAACAATATAAATAGGTGATTTTTGATGGTGACTTATTCCAGTGAGCATTCCAGTGCTCAGTAGAACCCCATTAAGAACACAGAAAGACATAATACAGGTTGATTAAAATACAGGTTAATAAAAATCAGATATGCTCAATGCTATTTCTACCTAGTGTTTTTCCAATATTCGATCAGGGAAATTACTAGGTAATTATTAATAAAGTAGTCCATAATGAGTCGACGTAAGACTGTAGAAAATAGCCTTTGGAATTTAGAACTTACATCCTTGTATGTGAGCTTGCTTAAGTCCTGGTTTATAGGATTGGCAGCTGGGTGAACTTACTAGATTCAAACAATGGAACTGGGTCCTCTTGTGTACAGACATCTGTGGCCTTACCACATTGGTATGTACCTGTGTGAAGTGAGACTAGAACTACTGTGTGCTCTGAGTTCCTTTTAACATTTAAGGTTGTAATGTTAATTAAATATTAGGAAGAAAAATTCCCTCCATCCCTCTTTTTTTTTTTTTTTTTTATCATCATAGGAAGCTGTGAGGATGTTTAAAAAGGCCTTGGAAGCCTTTCCTCAGTCTGAAGCACCAAATGACCTGGCTATTTCAGGGGACTGTCTGTATAATTTGGGTCTCTGCTACATGAAGGAAGGCAACATACAAATGGTATGCTGTGTATTTAGAAGCATAGATTACTTGTGATCTTAGTAACTGGTTGCTTACATTCAGTTCTATTTCTGAAGACTATCTATAGAGTACAAGAAGGGAATAGACCAAAGCCGTTTGTAAAGCTTAGTTCATTATAGTGAGTTGGCACCTGCAATTCCCATGAATTATTTATTTAAACAACACATGTCATTTGGTGCTAGTATGTCGACAACATTCTAAAGACAAGTATGTGCTTCCCACTAAAACAGTAAGTCAAGAAATTATAGCAAAATAATTTCAGCACACTAATATGACTTTAATTATGAAATTGTAGTTAAACTGAGTGCTTCAAAGTACTGTAGAATGAGTGAAAGATGATCAGAATATTTTTTGACTTCCTTACTAATAATTGAACAATTCAAACCAGATTGAAACTGGTTAAGATAGCCAGATTCATTGAAAATTTTTGATGTTCTATTATTCTGAGATTGTATCACTATGTTTCTTCTGTAGTTCTTGGATTATCATGGAAAATGAATGTTGCTTGATGTGCTTTCTTTGGAGAAATGAAACCCAAAGAACAATGATTAAAATTACCCCCCCAAAAGCATTGCGATTCAACAATATGGGAGGCACTAATTATAGTAGTAAACCTGACTTATTCCTAAATCTTACTTTTGTTACCCCACAAATATCATTGTGAGGGTGTATTTTTAAATGCCCAAAGAATAGAGTAAAACTTTTCAACGTTCGTTACATACTGTCGTTTATTAACTTTTTAAAACAATATACTCTATCACTAAGTGGTTTTTACTTTAACAATATACCCTTCTAGGCCTGTGATTCTTTTACAAAAGCTGTGAAAGCAAATCCTGATCTTGCAGAAGGCTTTTATCATCGAGGACTTTGTAAAGTAAAACTCCACAAGGATAGCGCAATTCTGGATTTTAATCGTACAATTACCCTCAATCCAAAACATTACCAGGTATTTAAATAAATGATATTAGTGACTTGAAGAGCATGTCAAGTTGGGCAAAAGTATGAAATCTTTTACATACCATCATTACTAGTTAGCAACAATTGATTACTTGCACTTGCTTTTCAACAAACTGTTGTTTTGATAATCGAGACATCTGTATTTCTCCTAGAACTAAAAGTATTATTTCCAGCAGGGATTTTATGTCTATAAAAGTGCTTTGTGAATACTGATGTATGTATCTGCATACTTTGCTAACATATTAATTTATCTATTAGTAATTTTAATGTATACAGTGTCATAATTTTATTTATTTTGATATATCGATTGCTGCCTTTCAATAGATTGTAGAGACAACACAAAACTTAATAGGTAAAACTTGAATAGATCCTGATTTTAAAAGCCTATGACATTTGAGTTGATTAAATGGTAGATGATTTTTAGGGAATTACTATTAGAGCAGTAGAATGGTTATATCGGGCAATCTCTTTTTTCATAGGAGATCCATGTGGGAGGATGCATGTCTACAACTTGTTTTCCAGTATTTCAGAAAAAAAGTAGATAAAGCAAACATGTCAGGCAAAATGTTAATGATTTACTGAACTCAGGTTGTTGGCATAGGTTGATTATTACACTACTATGTCAAGTATTCTGTATATTTGAACACTTTTTTCTAATAAAAGAGTGAAAAGACTATGTTTTAATATCATCATTGGGTGGCATAGATTTGTTTAACCTATGATTTTACTAAATCATACAAATATGATGATTTTACTAAAATAGCTATTCCTGCTTTCCTCTTCTCTTTCTCTGAAAAGGCATATTTATGCCGAGTAGCCTTCTATGGTTTAAAAGGCAGATATTCCAAGGCAATCTTGAATTGTAACGAGGCTATCAAAATTTATCCTGAGAGTGTTCGTGCCTATCTCTACAGGGGAGCGCTGAAATACCACAACAAGGTAGGCCATTTCCTGCTTGGCTTACTAAAATTTTAGAGTCCTTGGATTCTTTGGATGATAAGAAGTGACTCACTGTTTTTTTTCTCTGTGGTAAGAGAATCACTGTGGTATGAAGGGCAGAACTACATAGGACACTTTGTCAACTTTTCACAATGCATCAAAGGGGATTTCAACTCATAATTTTTGACAAAATAGGAATATTTATTTTTGACATTTTCATCCTGAATAACATCTATTATTTATTTTTTAATGGAAGCAGCATATATTCATTGTTGGCAATTTTGAAAATATGGAAGGAAATAAAGGATTGTTATCTAGCCACCAGATTGTAATTCCTGAGAACATTTTGGGGTGATTTAGAATATTCTCACTTAGTCTTTTATTTTCCTGATAATATATGACATGTGATTATGCTACTTATATAATTTATTTCATGCTTTTTTTAACTTAATCTCTGAAGATGTCATTTATACGATGGCATAATATTCCATAACAGTTTAACCACTCAATTGTTGGACATTTAGGATGTTTAAATTTGTTTTTTTACTATTTTAAATCATACATACACAACTTAAAACAAAATCATTGCTTGAGTTTATGATTGGTTTCTAAACTGAAATTGTTGGGTATGAATAGGACCTTTGACATCTGATGGTACATGGAATATTTTTATTTTTGGACTTTTCTTTGTAGCTATTTCATATGAAATATTTTGCAAATAACACCTTACAGCAAAGGTAAGATCTTGCATTATGCAGTAATTCCATGAAAATTATGATGCATGGAACTGGATGAGATAAGGTATTGGAAAAGAATGAAAGAGGACAGCAAAGAGAATGCAGGTAAAAGCTATGGAAGTTATGTGATGTGACAGTATAAGTGGCAGAAGTGAGCAAGTTCAGGTGAATATTGTTGGAGGAATACAGGACGATTCTTTCTATTTTAAATTTATCTGTAGATGACAGAAACCATAAGAATTCGTACCAGGAGATCATCTTAATTAACCCTGTGAAAGATAAGCTTGATTGTCTTACTTGTACAGACGATACACAGAATGGTTACATGAGTGCTCCCAAAACTGATTGGATGAAGAATTTATTTTCTAACTGAATTTCACTTAATTATCTTTTTCTTTGTAGAGTTACAAGCTAGCTATTACAGACTTAACTACAGCTGTTAACATGGACAAAAACAATTACATAGCATTTTATAACAGAGCCTTATGTTACACCAAGATAGGAGACTTTCAAAAGGTAAGATGACCATTTTAGTAAATAACAAGTTTAAAGCATTTAAGAAACAGAATGCATTCAATAGCTTCTTGAGTTCAATAAGCAGTCAATAAACATTTAATAACATGTTAAAGCATTTGTAAACACTTTTAAAATAAATACAGTTAACGCACCTGTAAAGTATTTTTCTGATTACTTCTGCCATAAGTTTGAAGAATAATTCTTATGGAAATACACACACATAAAACTCGAGAAACTAAAGAATTATTTCAAATAGTTCGTTAGTGCTCACCAAGTTTTCTTTAACAATTTCTGTAGTAAGTCAAATGGAAAATTATTACTTCACTATTTCTACATTAGAGCAGCTCATGCAGGTGTTTTTTTAGTGTTTAGACTCTATGTGCAGCAGGGAGCATGGAGTGATGGTTTCAGCCCCCAGTGAACATTGAGCAGAAATTTGTTTGTATATTTGAAAGGTCTAACTTTGGCTGCAATGACCCTTTTGTTCTCCATTTGTCTTGATCCAGGGTCTACCTGTGCAAACTTTCATTTATTTTTTATTATCTTAACCCCATGTTCTCACCCATAGTCAGAATGATTGTTTTTCAAAGAGAATTCCTTAAACTGGAGCATCTGGTCTATAGGTTTTTAGTGTTCTGCCCCATCCTTGTTTCTTTTCCTAATAGCCACTGGATTTCCCCTCCTCATTGCAGCCCCTTGCATAGTATTGGAACAGTCCTTAAAAAGATTTCATCACTTTCCCACTGTTCTGTGTGGACATACTTGCCAATCCCTGTGAAATTTAGCTAAATCTGTTTAAAACATTTTGAAATTTACAAGCCCAAGGGAAGAAATTGAGAAGTGTCATTTCTACCCAAGAGGATGCAAATTTCCTGGCAACCAGCCAGTGGTCAGGTTTTCTCTCAAGTGTTCACTAATGAATAACTGATTTTTACTGGGGAGTTGTTGGATTCAAGGGTTAATTAAAGGACCACTTATCAGTGACCTGCCCACCAGGTGTCTTTGAGGACTTCCTGAATACCCCCATTCCTGCCAGAAAGGTAACCCAGAGGCCAAAAACAATGGACTCAGTGGGGAAGGAATGCCCACGTTTTTGTTATCTCAAATATGTAGATAAGTCAATTCACTGTTAAAAAAGAAAATGCAGAACTACCCAAATAAAGTGAGAGCAAATGAGAGTGCTAGAATATTGGTGACTTTGAAGCTGCCAGTACCCCAAAGCATTTCCTGGTCTCATTTTACAGATGAGGAAATGAAAGGAGGGAGAGGTTAGAAAACTTCAGATTACACAGGGAGTTAGAGACCTGCATTGGTGTTCACAGGTTTGTTTGTTTCTGGGTTAACAGTCTTTTCATGGCTTTGTAAAACCTTCTGACTCCAGTGTGTGGACTGGATATCTTTTAACAAGGTCACCTCCTCTTTTTTCTATTATTTTTTTTTTTTATCTACCTCCACCTGTTTCTCGGCATTCCTGCTATCAGTAGGCTGAGAAAAAACAAGTACTTTTCTGCACAAATGTACTTAGGCATTCTCCCAAGGTATGGTTTCCAAAAAACTAAGCAAAGGTGAATTCTAATAAAAATAGTAACAGCTACCTCTTATTTACAACTTACTGTGTGGTAAGCACTGAGCTAAATGTTCTGTCAACAAACAATTGAAGTATTTCTAAGTACACTTTTACACAATGTGTTGCATTTTTAATATCCCAATTTTTCAGGTAAGGAGACTGAGGCTTAGGGTTAAATAACTTTCTCCTGACTGAGAATCTGGTAATTATAGTAGAGAACAACCCAACCCAGGAGAGACCAGACCGTCCTCACCCATCCTCTTAAGCAAAACCCCTGAGCTGGATGTGGTGGTGTACCAGGGAGTCTGAGGCAATAATGATTATCAATTCAAGGCCGGACTAGGCTACATGGTATTGTTGACAGTGGGTGGAGTCTGTAATTAAAAGACTTCCAAATTCTTTGGAATTTCCAAATTCTTTCCTGCAGGGAAGAATCCATGGCAGGACATGCGGGTATAAATGGAGTCTATTAAAAGGTAGATACAAAAGGGAGCATGATGGGGCCCAGGTGGCACTTGGTGGCAGAGAGAGCTTCCCTTCTTCAGGTGCTTTTAAAACGTATGCTGACCTATGGAAGGGAGGAACCAGTGATTCCCATCTAATAATCAATGAGAGGGGAGGAGCATGGGTGGCTTCCCAGCCAGGTGAGGGTGGTCCCTGAGCCAGAGCATGGTCAATCTGAAAGGCAATATTTTTCTGAGACCCAGACTTTCCCTAACTCTAGCCTGCCTCTTTGTAACCTTGTCTCAAAACAACAGCAACAACAAAAACCCAAAAACACTCTGTGGTCTTCTTCCTCTCTCCCCTCCAAAACTGATAGACCTTCATGAAATTTTATTTCCTAGCACTTGTGTCCTCATGTATCACACATTCACAGCTCAGACGATTCTCTAAGGCATCTTACAGGTGGTACATTCTGTCTGTAGTTCTGTGAAAGGAAGAGTTAGATATTTTGTAGCTACCATTGTAGGGTTTATTTTAAAAGTATTATTAGTTATTTTTAAAGCCCTGGTAATGTTTATGACACAGTAAAATCACAGAATCTTTAATTGCATGATGTTTTTAGACACTTGAGTGTCCAATCAGAAAATGCTAGAGAAGAGCAAATAAGCAAAAAGAGGAATACTATTTATTTACCTTTTTTAATTACTAGGTGCTATGATCAAACTATATGGATCTTTTAGACAAAATTTTCACTAGGAAAATCAATTATAACCCAAATTTTGGATGCTTTTAGTAGTTGGTGCTGATGGAAAACAGAAAATCTTCAGTTACTCAGGGAATTTAAAAAAAAAAGAAAAAAGAAAAGGAAAGGAGGTTTTCTGAGTAGATTTATTCTCATACACCCTGAGTATACCTGTCAAAATATCATACAGTAATTTTCCTATAAGTGCTTCTTTGTCAGTTGTATTTAGATCTATTTTCATTGATTCATGACTTACTCATTTGATGAAATCTTACTGAATAGCCACTGGGTGCAAGCATGATGCTTGTTATTGGGTTTATAATGGTGAACAAAATAGATAAGCTCTGGCCCCCATAGAGCTTAGAGTTCAGTGAGGAAGACAATAAAACACTAAAAAGAAATTAAATTTTCAACAGTAATCAGGGCTTTGTTTTAATGTCAACAATCATTTGAAGAAAAAGTACTGTGGGGGAGGATATTGAATTTTTTTTTCTGATTGACATTTTATTTTCCCTTTATTGTTGTTCTGGGAGGGGATACATGGTAGCATTTACAAAGGTTCTTATAATGTATCAAATTACACCCTCTCCAATTCTCCCCTTTATCCCACCTTCCCCCAATTCCTGGAACAGTTTCAACAGGTATCATTTTTGCATTTACATACATGTGTACACATTATTTGCACCATATTCATTCTCCTACCTCTTTCCCTGTCACCTCCCCCTCCCACTGGTGCCAACCCCTCTACCTGTTCTACCCTCCTGTTCTCTGATTTTGTAGAAGAAAAAAAGATGAAAGATAAAAAGAAAAACATGACATTTTTGTCTAGTTTGAGATAAAGATAGCTATACAGGGAATTTCCTTGTGATATTTCCATGCATGTATACATTACAGACCAATTGGTTCATCTCCTCTAATCCTCTTCACTCCTCCCTAGTCCTCTTCCCATGGTGGCTCCAGTCAGTTTAAGTTTTTCCTTCCAATCCATACACAAGAAAGTGCATAAAGTAATTCACAGAATGTGAATTGGAAGCACAGTGGGTGCCACCTGTTAAAAAGTAGCCATATCAATAATATTTAGCTAGGAGACCCTTCAAATCTAACATGGGATCATTTTGACCCCAAATTATAAGTCACATTAAAGAACTAGCTATGAGATCCCACTTTTCATTTGTCCATGGCCAGTGAAGTAAGGCTCTAAAGAGTTGCATTTAACTGTGAACACTAAGTTGGAGTGTGAACACTAAGTCATACTAGTTGGACTCACGCAGTGCCGGTACAGAAATACCTACCAGGAGAACTAGAATATTTGTGTTGACTGGTCTCTCTTAAGGTCAAAGAAACATAGAAAAAATAATTTTTTCCCCTAGATTCCATGTAAGCCAGCTCCATTTTATTTGGATCTTTTCATGCACATGACTTTCTGTGAATGAAAGTGTCTCTTATATAAGTGTCACACAGAAATGTATTGAGGTATCAAAATTGAAAAATTTATAATAGTAAAACAAACCTACTAAGCTTGTTCAAAAATAATGAGGGATTTTCTATAGATTCCCAAAGAAATGAATTAGGAGTGTGGCACAGAACTATTAGCTACTTGGAAGTCTACTCTGTGAATCAAAAACTTAATAAGGACAGCTTTCAACCAATTCAATCAATAGCCCCTAACTTTGCTAGAAAGTGCTCATATCGTGAGTTCTTATGCCAGAGATCACCCATGTTTAGATATCACTATACAGGCTTTTGAGAGGAGGAGTGCAAACTGGGAAGAAGAGATGGCTCTGCTGACTCAAGTTTCCAAACAATGTAGTTGAATGTACATCTGAAAAGAACTTCAGAACAAAAACTTTGATAAAGTTACATCTGTATAGAAAAGGAAATTATTCAAAAGAAAAAAGGAAGAAATTGATAATCTGACCCTCACAAAAAAGTCTAGTGGTAGAAAAGAAAGACAAAGGGCTGGTGGAGTAATTTAAGTGGTAAGAGTGCCTGCCTAGCAAAGTGTAAGGCCCTGAGTTCAAACTCAAGTACTGCCAAAAAAAAAAAAAAAGACAAGAAAAAGTATGCCAGTGAATATCCTGAAAATGAGCATTCACGTCACCCCCAAGATTAGAAAATTACTACCTTCAAAGGAATACCAATAAGAATCAACATAAAAGGGGAGATTAGCTATCTACAGAACTAGTTCACACCAAGGAATGGATGAGGAAGTTACTGTCTGTTAGAAGAAACAAAAGTACAAATGACTTTAGAGGTCAGGGCTGACAATGTGGATTAAGCACTCAGATTTAAGGAACTCTGAGAAAATTTAAAAAGAGAAACAGAAAGAGACAGGACTAAGCATCCTGGGCTTCTGAATTTACAAATGAAGTGGGATGGAGGTGCAGAGGAGGATAGGGTGGTCATTGTTAGCTGCTGCTGCTGAGAAGTAAAGCAGGATAAGGACTTTGATGACTCAAAATTTTATTGCAATTATAGGATTGAAAATCAGATTTGAGTTTAAAAGAAGATACTATGTGATGAAAAGTATAGATACGTAAATGCATAAGATTGTTAGAGTTCAAAGGAAGGGGACAAATAAGATGATAGGAGAGTCACAAGAATCAGGCAAACGTAATTTTTGGGATATTATGGAAGAGACTTAAACTTTAAAGAGAAATGGTTACTACCAAAGGAAAAGTTGAAACTCCTGGGAGAATGCTTACAATGAACCACAGAGTTTTTCTCATCTCAAAGTCAGGTGAGGATCAAAAATGTAAGTGGAATCTTACATTCCAAAATTTGTCCTAAGAAAATATGACCTAAATAAGCATGGGATATATTGAACTATTAAAAAAGGAGATGAATGTAGGTTGTGATTATTTTATTTTTAGGCATTAATAGATTATGGAATTGTGCTGCTTATTGGTGCTGAAGAAACTCTGACATTAAATACTTACATTAATCGTGGACTCATCTACACAGAACTACAGCAGTACACATTTGCTTTAGAGGTGAGCCTTCCTGTTCACGTAAAAATGAAATCAGCTGATTTTGCAGTGAACAAATTTATATTGCAATAGCAATATTAATGAGTGATAACTTTCAGCAAGAATTGTATTGAAATATTTGGAATGACTAATAGGATTTTTTGCAAAAATATGGGTACTTTTACTTCATTTTGGTTACAGATAAATGGAGGATGCATAAAAAATAATATAATTAAGCCTATCATCTCCCAAAGGGAGTACACATAAAACTCAGTCATTTGGCAAATAAAATGATTTATGCATCTACTCTGCTCTACAGTATTCTTTCTCATTCACAAATTTCTCTTTTCTCATTGAAGCTGTATCCAAGTAAATCCATTTCAAATAGGGTAGCTCACAATGAGTTACTCGGAACAATCTTTTAAGTTAGTAGGAACAAGCAGGCAGAATTGTAATAGAGGTAGGTATATATATATATAGTATATTGAAAAGAAACAAGCAGTTTGACATTTATTTCATTATAGAATAAATAAAATTCATAGTTCTCATTTTAATTCATTTTTTATTATTTGTTTTACAGTAACATTGGAATTAAAATTAAGAAACAAAAAGCAAATATTAAGTAGCAATTTGTAGTTTGCTGTTAAGTAATGGCAGTTTTGCCTTTTCCTTCAGAGGAACTGCCACAGAATACATAACATACAGAGTGGAGAATTTCCTGTTTTTCTCACCTCCCAAGATGGCTTGTATTGTCTTCCTACATCTGGAGTCATCTGTACTTTCTATCTAGAGAGTTTATGCTGTGATGAAGTGTAATCTAAACATTTAAATTCCTTTAGGCTTTTTGATATATTGAAAAATCTCTTTGAGATAAATCATTAGGGATCACCTGAAGTAGAGGCAGCCAAAGAACTTCACCGTGATACACAAAAACAGCTATGGAAATCTGGGCAATAGTGTTGTGGTCGAAAAAAGTGAGAAAAGATGGAGATGGGGAGCAAAGGACAGCAGCTGAGGAATTAAATGCTAAGTTTGTTGGATCAGAAACATTTATGTCTTCCCCTTCCTGAAAACCTACCATGATGGGAGTAAAGGAATAAAAAATTTAATTCTACAAAGTTAAAGATAGTGGAGAAGTGATATTTAGGTATCCCGAACTATCATTCTGGATTTTAATGCCTTAAACTTAAATATGAATGGGTGGCCAAAGATCAGACACTTAAAGGAAGTAAAACTGGGACTAAAACAAACAAGTTGTGAAAGGTGTACAGAGATGATGGGAGAAAGGGAGGTGTGTGGAGTGATGGATAAGGTAGACAGCTAAATTCTATTCTGTGTAGAAAGTGAATAGTTGAAAACTTTAAGTATTGTATAATACTCACATTATTTAGAAGTTTGAAGGTAAATACCAGAAGAAATAACTGTAAGGTAGAAAAATGATTATATTGGGGAGTGCCAATTAAGGGGAAGGAGAGGTGGGATAGAGGATCACTATTTAACATTGTAAGTTCTATAGTTTTCTTAGGTCCTATCTACTGTATGCATGGATTACTTTGATAAGAATAAAAATAAATAAAAACAGCTTTCAAGCAAGTTTATGAGGTGCAAAATAAAAATAATCTTGTTAAATAAGAATAATGAGCGGACAGAATTTCGGGATGTGGAGACATTGAGTGTTGACTGTGCTTTGGGGATTGATTGGTAATGACAGGACCTGGAAAGATGTGGCCATGTGTAGTTCTCAGGGTAGTTGAGGGAGGCAGTGAGACAAAGAAACAGAAGATAACAGACCGATGATAGAAAGGAGAAGGAAGGGATATTCTAACCCAGAAAGGAAGATACCTGGCAGCATATTTGGTTAGATCGTACTTGATTAGATAATAACAGTTCTTATTTCCATCCAAATACTTGCATTTATTGTGAAAGTATGCTATGTGACTCTAACTGGGGAATCCACACTTACAGATTGGTCAATGATGATATCTCTTCCACCAGCAGGATCCTACTCAGCTTGACCCTACTACTCTTTCTTCCGTCTCCAGTGATAGCAGAAAACTTATCCTACCTCCTGAGATAGCCTGCTTCTTCCCCCTAATACAACCAGGGAGAGTTTGTAGGAGGAATGAGGAGGAGGTGGAGGGAGACTGTTCCTTCTGGCTAGCTCCTCCATGGTTGGGCAGTGCCCTTTGAGGCTGTAGAGTGCAGTGAGTCTGGAAGGATTTCTTTTTGCCACTCCAGGAGCGGTACTGTGCTCCCCATTGTTTCAATAGACCAAGTGAAGTCACAGCCAAAACAACCCTTGAAGTTTGCTGTGGAAGTTGTCCTTTGGGCAGAAGCACTGCCATTTTTATCCCTTCCTAGGTTCTAGACTCATACTTCAGGAGGCCCCACCCCAATTACAGCAATCAGTAAAACCAGTCTACATCTCGTCTGTATATAGTACATTGATATTAACATGGCATTTGATTTGTAGATATTGATTTAAATATTTTATTAAGTCTAGTGATGTTCTTTTTTGCCTCAGGCTATAAATGTTTTGTAGGATTTTGAAAACCTTATAAGCTTCAGACACCAACACTGTCTCTGAAACCTAATAAATTATAGAACTCTGGGCCATGGTGGCAGTAGCTCTTGCAGATTCAGCCCTTTTAATTCTTTTAAATAGCCTGTTGCCCAGGGCCGCTCATATCTATTCCAGCTCACTTGCCAAACTTCAGATTTTGGGGATAGAATTTCCATTCCTCCTCCTCAGGCGTCTGGATCCCTGAGCCAAATGATACCATTGTTTCCAGAAGTGTGGATTTCAAAGGTGGAAGGAGATGTAACTAATCCACATGCAAGGCCCAGTTAACCCATTTCACTTGTGTGGGTGCCTGTTTGTCTAAAAATCCTAACTCCAAAGGTTCTCTCCAGGGGAGTTTCCTTTTCTATCTAGGCAGGGAAGTCTCTGATGGTGTTCTTTGAGTAAAAACAATAAAATAAAGCAAATGAGATTCTGCATTACATATTGTAGAGCAACACTACAGGAAAAGTCCCTGTTGGTGACAAGGGGGCAAGTGGCACAATATTCTAAGTGATTTATCCCAACAATGGTGTCCTCTGCTCTGTCCATTCTTACTATGTGTAATCCTATGGGGATGGGGAGGTGGGGAGAAGGAAGCTTTAGGAAGATGTGTATTTTAATACTTGTGTTACATATTTTCATGTGGAATAAAAGTTAGAAAGAGATTGAAGAAAGCATATAAGATAATATTGCAAAATTAACAAAAACTTTTAAAATTGTTTCAGGATTTTAAACAAGCTGCAGTGATAAGCCAGACTAACGTGAGTCTTTGTCAAGCTACCGCCATGTGCCACCACAGGTATGGGGTGCCACTGTTGTCCAAGAGGAGCAAGTGGGCTTGCCACACCTGTCTAATCACAGTTCCACAGGGAAGCCAGGAGGGAAGGCAAGGAACTGTGAAAATAATGTGACAGACTACAAAAATGGAGAGAGGCACAAAGAATTCCCTGCTTAAATGTGGAGACCACAGCTAGTGTATCAGTAGTCCCCTTTTGCCCTCCAGTAAACTATTTAGCCAAATCAGTGATGCAATACCTGCATCACGGCTGGGATATTCATCTGAGTCAAGCCCATACTGTGATGGGACCTTGGTAATTCAGGAATGAAATTACACAAAGCTTGAAATATCCTGGCATAAAATAACTTAATTTGTTCATATAATGGGACTAACTTTTAAAAAGTCCATTTCCTGGAAAAGAAGGTTATTAAAAAAGAAACAACTAATGTATTTTCAAGAAAAAAAATTTACATTAAAAATATAATTATAAATCTAAAACTAATTAAACAACACCAGTAATTATCTACAGAATACCCAAAATTCTACAAAAGGTACAATATTTAAAACATTATCACCCCTTTCTGAGATTATTATGCAAACAGATAAATTATACAAAGAGAGAACAGTTGCATAAGGCTAAAATACAGAGATAATCAATTTGAAATACACTCAGGCAGTGTTAGAGTGTATAGACTTTGCTAACCATAATGTTTACTTTTCTACCTTTATGTTTTACACCTGAAAATTAATTTTTTGGTCATCTTGGTTTTAAAAGCATGTGCAGATTTTAATAGGAGATAAAATGTACTTGGTTAAACAATAGTTTACACCATTACTTTTCATAAGAGAAACAATAGCAGTTAATTTGAATAGGGAGATTAGGATAATTCATAAATTATGTAGACAAAGCTGTGCAAATATTCAACTTAGAGAGTGGGAAATAGTTTGAATTATTTAGGAAATTGACACTCTTTATTTTCTCTTTTAGGACATATATTATACAGCTACCTTTCCTTATGAGAGCCAGTTTTCTATTTTTACAGACAATGTAATATTAACTGGAACTTCTGAAGATATCTTTGGGTTAGAAGGCCTAAGCTGGTCTGAGATCTTTCATTTTATACAGACAGCAAAACATAGCCACACCATTGTCTATTTTGCTCCAGCAACCTTTCTACAATCCATCTCTTTAAGTAGTTGTCATTCTTAAAGAGATGGAATAACGATGACTGATGTGTTTATTTTGGTGGGTGTGTGCAGACCAAAAATGTCTAAGGTCATTGCATTCTGTTAAAACTAAAAACAGACTCCAAAATTTCTCTCCACCTCTTTCCTATGTTTAACTTTTATTTTAGAAAAACTTTATGTTTAGCAACTGTTAAAGTCAGTGAGTTTCTCTGTGTGTCAGTCCACAATCTCTTTTATGAAATGTAATCACTTGGTAGATACGGAGAGCCTCCTTAAGCTGATGCTGCTTTGCAATTTCAAATAAGCAACTTTCATCACCCTACTAAGATCTCTATTTTTCTTTAATAAAAGTAGAATATAAATCAACAATAAAGCCCTGGTAACTCAGAGTTCCAATTCCATGTGTATTGAGCTTGAACAGTTTTACTGAACTTAACAATAAAGAATGTTCGGTGATTAGTTACATCTTTTCAGGAGAAATATTTTTGCTGTAGTGATGGGGATTCACTTATGGTGTCTTACATTAGAGAAAGTAAACTTTTTTTCTCATTCAGAAAATTTTATAAAAGGAACAAATCTTTAAATTTTAGGGCTTTGAATTTGTGGGGTTGCAGATGTTTGAAGTATCCTTTGTATATCTCTGTTTCTCACTCTTGTGGTTGCTAGGAGACAACATTCCTTAGGCTGAATATCCTACTTGTTGCCCAATTTAATCACCAGGAGTGTTATGGTAGAGTTAATTTTCAGATCTCTTTGAGAAAGCCACCCTCATACTTAAAAAAAATAACAATATAAAAGGAGTTTACTTGGCTATATATCCCAAGGACTTTTTACTTCAACACATTGATGTTACTATTCTTAATATTTGCATAAAATTTTCTACTACTTAACTCTGCAAGCCACATTCTTTGGCTTGGGGAGGTATTTGTGATTTATTTGTACAGCTCTGGAGGGCACATCTGGTCACGTATGTGATTAACGTGGTAAATGCGGTGGGCCTTTGTGTTTACGGCATGGCCGGCAAGCCCAGCACGATTCATTGTGAGCAGACAGTGTGGTGAGCGTCAGGCACCTTCTGCAAGGGATCGTGTGACTTTAGCTTTATAGAAGCATATTTTATTTTAGAAAAACTTTTTGCACAGTTTTATATTTGTGATTACTGAGGCTTAACCATTTATATCTCAGTGAACGTGTTCCTCGATGGCACTGAGGACACTGTGACAGACGCATCTCCAGGACAGTGGCATTGCTGTTTCTACAGTGGCATCTCTTCCGCTTTCTTTTTGTCTGTTGGTGTAGGAAGCTGGAAGTGTCTGTCTTCAGAGTTGAAGGTCACTTCCTCTGAACCTGACCTTCAGTCGTCAATTTTGAGGTGCTTGCCAGGTGGCTCTCAAGATCCAGCTTTAAGATTTAATGGTTATTGCTCTGGTGGCGTGGCTCAAGTGGCAGAGCACCTGCCTAGCCAGAGAGAGAGAGAGAGATTTAATAACTATTTACTTAGTCCAAACAGACTAGATGCTCATTAAAGTTAATGCTGATATCTAGATAAGTATAGAAAAACAGTTTGGATCATTGCCTTTTGGTAATATAGAACGTATACTTCATGATATAAGTAATGCTTCATTGTTCTTGTTTTTGTATTTTTTTGTAATTGGTTATGCTATGCTAAAGAAAATATTGCATTGTATAAGCCATATAGCAGAATATTCACAAAAGATTTAAAAATTTTTTTCTTTGGGTAAGAGGAGCAGCTATATGACATAATTTGGATGTTGATATACTAAGAACATTTCAATAATTTATGAGGAAAATATGAGAGAATAGGTATTGTCCTAGAAATTTTAGTATACATAGTCACCATAGGCATGCATCCTAAATAAATAAATACTTGGTGAAGTATCTACAAAATGACTGTGGTGTATTTACTCTTATGAAGAAGGTTATGCCATGTTGAGAATTACTGATGCAATACAGTGAGAAGACACCTGGAAAGCCATCACGACCCTGCTATATTCAGTGAACTTTGCCTTCTTAAATAGAACCACTTATGGAGAAAGAGGAGTGTAATTTCGCTGTAAACTACTTGAGGGAAGTGACCCTGTGATTTCTGAGTAACAGCCCATAGACTGATCTGGGAAGATACACCTGGCTCGTGAACTTGACTGTGAAGCTTTTCTGTGTGTGAGAGCATGAAGCCAAGCTGTCCTGGTGCTTTAGTGTTGATTCTTTGTGATCTTCTTGCCGAGCACTTGATGCACCTCTCCTGGGGGCAGTGTTTGTCAGAACATGGAGCAAGAATCAATCATAAGTACTTCAGTTTTTTTCCATGGTGTGGACAATCCTTAAAAGACAAAAACTTTGCATGCACAGGTGGCTCACGCCTGTAATCCTAGCTGTTCAGAAAGCCAAGATCAAAAAAATCTATCACAAAAATAGGCTGGTGAAGTGGCTCAAGATGTACGTCCTCAACAAAACTAAATGAAAAACAACTTTCTTAAAATTATAGGAAGTGAAGTCATTGTCTTGGATTGAGCTTCTGCACTAGGCTCCAACAGAAAAACCAAAATGGAGTCACTCATGGTAAATGACATGATCAAACTGAAACTGTAAGAATGCAGATGGATCCCAAAATATACCAACTTTTCTCCCGAAAGCAGGAGATTCCATACTAACTGGGCCAGAATAGTAAATATGTATCCTCTGCTTTATTCCTTAGCCCCCTCCCCGAAAGTAGCCTCTAGTAACCTGATGTTAAACAGTGAGCTTTATTTTTTTGTTGTTCTGTTTTCATATTCCTACCTCATAAGTTCTACTGTTCTGTTATTTCCCAGTGGGAGCTGAGACCAAATAACTTCATTTATGATGGTGACAGAAAGTGAGGTCAGTGGCAAAGTTTTGGTCAGTAGTCAGTTTGGAGAGTTGACGATATCAGAGAATATTAAAGCATGACCTAAAGTGTTCTCTGTGCTTAGTGAACTGAAACCTGTGCAAACAGACTACATCCTACTCTGTAACAACCATCTGCTCAAACTTCAAACAGGGCAAGAGTGACTGTAATTACCTGGGCTTTCTCAACCTTAATTCCCTCTTCAGTTTTTTGAATGTACTGGGGATTTGAACTCAGGGCCTTGTGCTTGCTAGGCAGGCACTCTACCACTTGACCCACACCATCAGCTCCTTTTGCTTTAGTTATTTTTCAGATAGGGTTTCACACTTTTTTCTCAGACCACACTCCTCCTACCTCTACCTCTCAAGTAACTGAGATTCTTTACCACCATGCCTGGCTTCTTCTTTGAGATAGGGTCTTGATAATTTTTGCCCCAAGCTAGTCATGAAATGATCCTTTCATCTCCACCTCCCAAGTAGCTGGGATTAAAAATGTGAGCCACTGTGCCTGGCCTGTTATTTCGTGCTCATGTGGTAGGACCAAGTATTCTGAGCCATTTTGGGTTCAGACTGGTTGGTGCCTGATTCTAAAATCACAAATAAAGTCTATAAATACCTGTGAAAGTAGTTTTCTTGTAATTTTCTTTTTTAACATACTGAATCACATTGTGAGAAATGGAGTCACTTTTCAGTTTCAAAATGAACTCTTTTTCAAACATTCCAAACACATCAAGGGGAAAGTCTCAGCTAACTAGTTTTACAAACTCTCTCTTTGTAATAGATGGTACAGCCTCCAGGTTTCTCTGTGTCTGTATCCAACACAAATTATATTTATTTCTAAGGTTGCCTCTATGGCATGGACTACTTGCTTTTCTATTTGTAGTATTGAAATTACCTTAAAAAATAAATCTAAGTGAACAAGTGAGTTGATTTTAAGGAAAATATTCAGTAGGTAAGTGTACCTAGAACATAGGACTGGATGGTTTTCAAGGAGGAGGGGCTGAAGTTTGAGATTCTTGAGTAACATCTAGAAGATGGTAGTTTCCAGATCTGATATCATGGTTTCCAAGTATTTTATAAAGGAAAAATGAATACAATAGTAATGTATTTTTATTAAATCTTGAACCTGTTTCCGTAGTAATGAAGAGAATAGGTACAGGTCTCTGTGCTAAGAGTGCTTTTTTATTTGGTTGTCTTTACAACCTAGAAAATTAGTCAGACTTAGCACGCTCAGGCGTGGATCTGAGCTTCAAGCCTTTCTTCTGACACACTGTAGTGACATCAGCTCCCTGGCTCTTTTGACCAGTCACATTGTATTTGAAGTGCAGGATGCACAGTAGAGATGGCTGTGTGGATTTTGAAGGAAGCCTTATCTGACTTAAAATTATTTCAGGTGTTTAATTTGTGAAAAGTTAGCATGCAATTTGCTATGACATTTCCCATGTGTAGATCATTCAAATGATCCTTATTCTTAACTTTTTATAGGCCAGTAACTACTTCTTAAAGCCTTGCTTTTTTTTTTGTCTGCTAAGTATAGACAGTCATAACTAGCCTACAGAATTGCTGGAAGGACTAAGTGAAATAGTGTATTAAAACATTTAGCGCAGTATTTGGTAAGTAAGCACTTATTTAATGTTGGTTTCCTCATTTAGTTAAAAAAATTCCTAGACTCCATGTTAACTGAGATGAAAAATAACTAGCTATACATGTGAAATGCAGAAGTAACTTTATATGCTTATGAACAAATATTTATTTCTTCAACAGCCCTTCCCCCACCACAAGACAGTAATCAGAGATGATAGACAGAATTATCACTTAGCCACATCTACTCATAAGTTAATAAATAAAATATTCTCCTACCTCTTCTCTCCTGGTGTCCTCGATGGAATGGACTACCTCTATAGATCTGAAGCATGGGCTGTTAAGTGATGAAAATTTGGTTCCTTTCATGTTATAAGGAAATATTAAACACAAATAAGTTTATTTTTCAAATAAGTCATGTGTTACTAAGTGATGGCATAAGTGCTGTAAGACTCCATTAGACAGTTATGTCATTGTGCACACATCACAGAGTACCCTAATACAAACTAAGATGGTTATGATGTCATTAGGTGATACACTCTTATGGAACTACCATCGTATATGTGTTTCATTGTAAACTGAAACATTGTTACATGGCACATGACTATAGTTTAAATAGTACATTTTATCAATAACAGCATATGTTTTTCTGTATTAATGAATCATAGTTGCTAAAACAAGGTTTAGGAATATCATTCAGACTTTTAAAAATTGAAAAACAAAATCTAGAACATACCATGGCATTCTACCATGAAAATGGTTCTTATTTCCCTTTCCTTCTTTCCTTTATCAAAAACTTCAGGGAACCTGTCAAACTTCCTTATGTTATGGATGTATGAACTTACCTCCTATGATGGATAATAAAAATGAAAGTTTTTTTTTTTTATAAGAGTCAATGTAAATCTCTCCAGAAAAGTCATATATAGGAAAACACTGAATAAATCAGAAAGCATCAATTCACCAGAAGGCATCAATATTTTCTATTTTCCCCCAGAATTAAAGAATTTGAAAAAGCTGTCACTTTCTTTACCTGGGCTATCAAAATTAACCCACGTTTTCTGGATGCTTATATTGGACGGGGGAATTCTTACATGGAATATGGACATGATGATGCCATCAAGCAAGCACAGAAGGACTTTCTGAAAGTGCTGCATTTAAATCCAGCATACATAAAAGCCAGAATAAGCCTATGTTATAATTTGCAGGTAAGATTATACAACAACATGCTGGGCACTGAAACCATTATTTGCACAGGAGAGAAAATATATTTAGCTCTTTCCTGAAGACGGGGCTCAGTGTTGTTTCCGTGGTTGTGAACACTTAACTTTCCCTTACTTTTATTATGCACAGTAGCAGTGGGGAGCAGAGGTTCAGTTAGTTAGAGAGAGCCTGCTTGGATGAGTGTGGGGTCCTCGAACACTACTTGGAGGAAGGTCCTTTGAACCTGAGTTCCTTAATGTCTGCACCCCACTTACCTTTATAAACAACTTTTAAAATTTGCCTGATGAATTGCACATTAAGAACCTGTCTAAGGTTACAGTAACTTATCCCTATGTTGCATAGGGGCTGGCCAATGGAGTTAGTGAAAAAGGAAAGCAAAGAAGCAATTTATGAGAGGTTTAAAAGGAACTTCAGCCATGCAATAGGTCAGACAGGCAATTTCTAGGGACTTCTGAATTCAGTCATCCTCTAAGTGGCAGTTAATTAGAACTTGATGGGAAGACAAGAGGACAAGCATTTGTTCTTCCAGAAAGATGTAAGAGTGCTGTTCTGTGTGGTGCCAAGCAGGTCTCTGAATGGTTTCTGGGACACTCTGGTCTGACCTATGCACTGAAATTTCAGGGACCTTCTTGGAATAAAGTACTAAATATGCTATATTCATGAAAAAGAACTGGGTAATCTTGAGTCTTTTTATCCCTTCTAATATTCAAAATCTTAAATAATGGGGAAAATTTGTGTTCAAATTATTGTAATTTGTAGAATTTCCTGTTAACAATCTGTCATTGAAGTTTCTGTCCTTTCATTTGAAAATGAGCAATTTTTGATACTGGAGGTGATGAGTTATCGTGAGGTGTTTCCAAGGACTCGCTAATAAGGGAGGTAAGATTGCCTTCTGAGAGTTATACAAAAAATCAGGCATTATTGGATCACAGTAGAAAGTTGCAAAGTCATTAGAGACAGGATGACTCCAAAACAGCTAGATGGAATGTATTAACATCATTCACTGTGTTGAAGAGGCATTTGCTGAGCACTTAATACCAGTAGGAGCTGCTCTAAGCCTAGGGATGCCACAGTAAACAAGGAAAACTTATTTCTTCTTTGGAGTTTAAGTCCTAGTGAAGCGACAGGCACAAAGAAAAAGAAGAGTTTTTAGTACAAGGGAACCCAGCTTTGAGTGGATAGAGCTTTCTGAAAAACTACCCTTTCATTAAAGTGTAAAAAACTAGTGATTAGTAAGGAAGGGGTCGAAGGTAAGACGTAGTGTTCCAGATGAAAAGAATACTACTAGAAAGCCTTGTAAAAAAGGACAGAAGGTCTAAGTGGGTAGAAAGTTATGGGCAAGGGGAGAGTGGTTTGAGATGTGGCCAAAAAAATTAAACTAGGGCATTGAAGGCCTTGCAGTCTAGTTAAAAATATGAATAGCACTAGTCAGAGAAGTAACATCAAATTTGCATTTTATGAAAATCTCCCTGGGTATATAACCTGGAAAAGGATTGAAAAGTATATCAGTATAAAGGAATTAATCAGGAAAGGAAGGACAAATGAAGGAGAGTTAGAGCCTTTAAGGACTGTACAGGGGAAAAAGTGACAAATTGTTCAACAGAGGCATATATTGTTTTCTTTACTGTTTGCCTAGCACTGGCAATGTAGAAGTGAACACAACAGATGTTGTCAGGCACCCATGCCAGATGAAATCCCATTGTGAGTGAGGTCGTTTAGCAGTTTGTATTCCAATAATCTAACCTCAGTTTCCCCGTTTCATTGTTTGTGAAGTGAACTTGTGATGACAATGTGGACTTCCAAATAGCTTACTCACGGAGAGATTTGCCTGCCAGTCAGAAACAGGATCTGGTTCCCTTCATGGTTCCATTTCTTTTTAGTTTTATGCAAGAGTCACCAGGCTCAGCTTGGTGACTGAGATTCTGGCAGGTTGGCTTTCTCAGCCCACAAGAAAGAAGGATAGAGGCTGGTCCGTGTTGAATTAATTACTCACTCACTGCCTTCTCATGCCAGCTGGTCTTCTTAGGAGGCACTCTCAACATCCTTCTATTAATGGTGTCCCTGTCTTGACCTTTTTTCTGTTTTTTTCCAGTTGGCACTAAGGTTGCTATAAATAGGTGCTTGGTAGGTTTATTTGCATTTTCCATGGAATATGTATAGTGGCCTTGAAATCCCAGATGCTGGTAACAATTTATCAAGATAGGCTTTTCACTATTAGTTTACTGACTTATTTATGCAGCACACATTATTTTTACTTTGTGTATCATGCATATATTATAGAAAATTGGAGTTTCTGTGCCAAGCAAATAAATGTCATCTTTGCCTGTATTTGTGGAGCTCAGTGTTAATTTTTCGGCAAAAAGCATGGGTGTTTCATATGGTGGCTGTGATTTTATGTTGTCTAAGATTGGTGTAAGAGATAGCCTTCAATCAAGTTTATTTTAGTTAATTAAAATTTCATCATAAATACTCAGAGGTAATTACTCAGTTGAATGCACTCGTAGTAGAGCCCACTTTCATGTTCAAAATACCTTAGATTTAACACAAGATAAGTATGTCCTTACCAGATTTTAAATGAGTGAGAGTCATAAGCATTTGTTATGTTATAGACTATTTCTTACTTCATGAAGTTGGAAAATTATTTTAGGCCCTAGGAAAATTCCAGAAAGCTTGGCTCCACTTTACCATTGCCATAAATGTTGATCGGAAGAGCTACCTTGCCTATGAGGGAAGAGCTGTGGTCTGTCTTCAAATGGGTGACTATTTGGCTGCGATGCAAGATATCAATGCTGCCATAAAGGTAAGAGCCCACTTGGATGGTATTATATAATTAGCACAAGTTAAAACCATCCATGAATAGATCCAAGGAAGAAGTTCTCTGTCACCTGTTTAAAGTGACAAAACAATGTTTTGTTTTTGTTTTTTCCTGGGTGATTCCTAGGATAAAGAGTTACTGAGGCTTGTCAATCTTACAATCTAAGTACATTTAAAATTCAAAAAGCAAATTCCTGATAAGCACTGGTTCTTTTCAGTAAATGCAGTTTATCAGTTTCCTGGGCATCAATACAATTTTACAATGTAAAACAGATGAAAAATATAAAACACGCTTTGGAGGAACTGAAGAAAGAGCAATGTAAATCCTCGAGTTCTTCCTGGAGTGAAGTGGCAAATAAAAAAATCTCATTTTGAATGCAGTGACAGAAACTCTTCTCCTTTTAAGTTTTGTTTCTCTAGATTTGAATAGATGCCATAACGTTTGAGATAAGAAAAGAGAACTGAAGGACAGTTGCTACTACATAGCAACAAATAAGCATGTTAATTATTCAGTTTAATTTCTTCTCCAGCTTAACATAGGTAAATAGGTAAATTTTCCCCTGTGTTTATCCTTTGGAAAGGATCTGAGTAAAGCACTAAAATTATTTGTTTTATTACAACCAAATCAACAAAGTGTTGACATGAAATCAAGCCCTTTCTCAAAATATTTGCTCTAATGGGGTTTTACCTGCACTATAAAATTACTTGTTTCCCAGAAGTAGATTTCATAATGTTCATCTTTACAGACATGAAATTGGAGATTAATTCAACTCCCAGGTGCTAAGTATCACACTATTATATTGCAGATCAATACCTCAGCAGAGTTCTTAACAAATCGTGGTGTCATTCATGAGTTTATGGGTCATCCACAGAACGCAATGAAAGACTATCAAACAGCAATTTCTCTAGACCCCAAATACTCACTGGCTTACTTTAATGCTGGAAATATCTACTTTCGCCACAGGCAGTTTTCTCAGGTAATGTGTCTTCTCCTTCACGTTTTCTTTTTCACATTAAATGCTTCCTTTGTTATATATAGTTTTGAAATACAATTCTTATATCTCAGTCTAATAAATCATTACCTTCTCTTTCAAAAATAATGTTCACTTTCATAAGAATGCTAATTATCCATGAACCTGTATGAATTTATTTTCCTCAAATCATCAGCCATTCAATACTTGTGCAGTAAATTCTTTTGGGCTTCTGTGATTATAGGCACTTTTCTTGTTCTATCTGTTGTCACCTGCTTCTAACCTGGAATCCTCTGTTCATTCCTCCCACTTAGACTTCCTTCCAGTCCTTCTTTATGATGGGAATACCTAACTCACCTTTTTTTTTTTTTTTTTCTGGTACTAGGGGGTTGAACTTGGCCTCCTGCTTCCTAGGCTGGTGCTCTACCACTTCAGCCCCCAGCCCTTAACTTACGCCTTTTTAAATGTTAGTCACAGGAGCACAGGGAGTCAGGAGCCTTGGATTTTTGTTTTGGTTTTGTGTGACCCATTAATCTCTTTCATTTTAATTCATAATGTCTAAAATAAAAGTGTTGGAGTATTAGATCACACATAGTTTAAAGTTTTATTTTATTTGAATTGTAATGCTTTAACATTCACCCGCTTACCTTTTGCATTTTTTTTTATTTGTAGTCACTCTTTTGTTCCACTTTCCTTCAACTTATCTTGTTTGCTCTTTATCTCTTTGAGTAGGTAACTTAATTCATTTATTACCACCCTTTCATTTATATTGTAATAATTTACTAAGGTTAAACTTTTTTCTGAATGCTGTTTTGGCAGTATCTCATATATTTTGGCTTCTAGTTTTGTTTTTTATGACTCAAGTAGAATATACATAACATAAAATTTACCATCTTAACAATTTTTAACTGTATGGATCAGTAGCGTTAAATATATTCTGTAATGTTTTTATTGCTTAGTGTTTTCCTCAAATGTTGCATCTGCAATTTATATTTCTACTTTGACAAAAGAATAAATCCAAAGTAGAAATATTTTTACTTTCTTTACGTGTTTATTAAAAGCATTTTATTTTTTCTGATATGCAGGAAGGTTTATTGTTTTGCTCTCATGACCACCTTTATAAAAATACATTTCATACCCTTAGCTCCTCATTTCTTTACTTTCTCTTCCATAAACAAAAATTACCTTATAACCTCTTCCCTGCTTCCCTGTCATTAGGATAGGAGGGTAAATCTGTAACTCTCATTGTTTTTTTGTTTGTTTTTTAGACAGGGTTCCCACTGTACCTCAGGCTGCCCTTGAACTCCACATCTTTCCACTTCAGCCTGCTGCATGCTGGAATTACATTTTTTTTTTTTTTTTTGGTTGGCACTGAGATGGGCTTCATGCTTGCTAGAACAGGCGCTCTAACACTTGGACCACACTTCCAGTCCTTTTTTCTCTGGCCATTTCTGAGATAGTGTCTTACTTTATGCTTAGGGTGACCTGGACCTCAATCTTTCTATGTTATGCTTCTCACTGTAGCTTGGGGTGACGGGTGCCTGTTCCCAGCTATTGACTGAGATGGGGGTCTCACAAATTTTTTTTGCCTGTGCTGGCCTTGAATTGTGATCACCTTTGTGATCACATTTTTTATTGGGTAGAGAACAGATTTGTAATTTATCGACACAGGTTCAGTAAGAAACTGAGTAAGTTTCATCAAGGGGAAGGAGAACTGGATTTTTAAAGGAAAATGTGGACAAGAAGGTGATATGTGAAGTAACTTATTTTGAACAAATTTTTAAAAAATTTTTTTATTATTCATATGTGCATACAATGCTTGGGTCATTTCTCCCCCCTGCCCCACCCCCTCCCTTACCACCAACCCCACCCCCTCCCTCTCCCCCCACCCCCTCGATATCCAGCAGAAACTATTTTGCCCTTATTTCTAATTTTGTTGTAGAGAGAGTATAAGCAATAATAGGAAGGAACAAGGGTTTTTGCTAGTTGAGATAAGGATAGCTATACAGGGAGTTGACTCACTTGAACAAATTTTTTAATGATTTTCATTAGCATATATGTACGGGGGGGTTATATATGTGCTAACAATGTATCTTAATTAGATTAACCCCTCCATCATTCTCCCTCATCTCCCCTCCCCCCTTCTTAGAACAATCTCAACAAGTTTCACTGTTTCATTTTCATACTAGCGTATGCAAAGTACATCAGTCATATTCATCCTCCTTCACTCTACTTTTTTTTTTTAATTTTTATTATTATTAATTATTATTTAATTATTATTATTATTTATTATTCATATGTGCATACAAGGCTTGGGTCATTTCTCCCCCCTGCCCCCATCCCCTCCCTTACCACCCACTCCGCCCCCTCCCTCTCTCCCCCCACCCCCTCAATACCCAGCAGAAACTATTTTGCCCTTATCTCTAATTTTGTTGTAGAGAGAGTATAAGCAATAATAGGAAGGAACAAGGGTTTTTGCTGGTTGAGATAAGGATAGCTATACAGGGAGTTGACTCACATTGATTTCCTGTGTATGTGTGTTACCTTCTAGATTAATTCTTTTTGATCTAACCTTTTCTCTAGTTCCTGGTCCCCTTTTCCTATTGGCCTCAGTTGCTTTTAAGGTATCTGCTTTAGTTTCTCTGCATTAAGGGCAACAAATGCTAGCTAGTTTTTTAGGTGTCTTACCTATCCTCACCCCTCCCTTGTGTGCTCTCGCTTTTATCATGTGCTCATAGTCCAATCCCCTTGTTGTGTTTGCCCTTGATCTAATGTCCACATATGAGGGAGAACATATGATTTTTGGTCTTTTGGGCCAGGCTAACTTCACTCAGAATGATGTTCTTGAACAATTTTTTGCTCCTGTTAGTTACAGAAGTTGTTTTAAACAAATTTAGGGTGGTGCTGAGTGAGGGTCTGTTCAAACATTAAGCTAAATACAATTGGTTGCTAGGGGACCATTGCGAGGGGGGTTAGCAGTAATCAATGTCTTTTAAAAGTCAGTAAGTCAACAGAAGTTCCATGTTTGAGAATGATTGCAATCTTAGGTCTTGTAAGCACATTCTTTCTAGATAGCACTCTTCATCTGGAAGTTAAAGATTGAAGAATGTGTGACTGTGAGGTAAATTGCAACCTGCCAAATGCAGACTCTCTCTTTTTTTTGGTCTCTCTTTTAACCCAAGTGCATCCACCTTAATTTTTATGTTTAGACCTTCCAGGTTGATGACAAGCTGTATAATCATCAGTTTTTGATCTTCTAAACAAGTTGATTTTTTCCTCTTTTTCTTCCTTGTAACTTATCATAGTATAACTTGAGTTTTTAATCCCTTTTGATATGATCTAGAATTTTCTTTTGAGAATTCGTATGTATTCATCTCTTACTCTGTTTTCATATGCAAAACATTACTGAACTAATTTGCAGTTACCTTCAGTTTTGTCTTCTTTTCTATTTTATTTTTATTTTTTACCTTTTTGTTATTGCTGTTCTGCACAAGGATGTGAGATTGGGATGGCAGGCAATGGGAGCATTTCACTATAGCAAGGAGGACTATTTTGTAATTGACATAGCCTAGAAATTTCTGGCACATTGTGCTGTGATATGGACCCTAAATGTCTTCCAAAGGTCCATATGCTAAAGGCTTGGTCTCTAGCCCCTTGTGCTATTGAGAGATGGTGGACTCTTTAGATGGGGATCTAGTAGAAGGAAGTTACCTAGTTTGAGGGCATGCCATTAATGAGGATGCTGGAATCCCAATCCCTCCCTTTCTTTCTTTATTTCCTGGATGCCATGAGGTAAGCAGCCTGCTCTGTTACACATTCACACAATGATGCTTTGTGCTGCCATAGGCCCAAAGCAACAAGGCTAAGTGATCACAGCTTGAAACCTCTGTGAACAGCCAAAAGAGATCTTTTCTCCCTGTAAATTCACCAGCACAGGCATTTTGTCACAGCAACAGAAAATTGACTAAAATACATTACAAAAACAAAAAGTAGGGCTGGTAAAGTGGCTCAAGTGGTAGAATGCCTGCCTAGCAAGCATAAGGCCCTGAGTTCAAACCCAGTACCATGAACAAAATAAATCTGTTTCTTCATTCAAAAAAACTAAACAAAAATAGGCCAAATTTTGGTGGTTTTTTCATTATTTTTTATGTTCTTTACAGACATTGCAGCTCTGTATTTGGGATGAAAAGTCCATTCCCCCCCCTTGGTTGGTCATTGGTCTTATGAAAGACTTTCATTTTCTGAATAGCTGCCAATGAAAATACATTCAAATGATCTTTATTCTTAACATTTTATAGGCTGGTGACTACTTCTCAAAGGCTTTAAAGTTTAATTCTGAAAACGAATATGCTCTCATGAATCAAGCTGTCACAAATACAATATTAGAGAAATATGAAGAAGCAAAAGAAGATTTTTCACGTGTAATTGAACGTTGTCCCTTTTGGGCTGCAGTATATTTTAACAGAGCACATTTCTACTGTTGTTTAAAGCAATACAAATTAGCTGATGAAGACCTTATTAAAGGTATTTTTGTTTTGGTAATCATTTTCATAAGATTATAAGAGTTGATGTGTGTGTGTGTGTGTGTGTGTGTGTGTGTGTGTGTGTGTAGACTACAAAAGAAGAAAATCATCAGGTCTGTTTGTCTAGATAAAACTTACTTGTGTCCTTTGGGTGCCAGTGGCTCATGCCCATAATCCTGGCTCCTTGGGAGGCTGAGATCAGGGGGATCATGGTTTGAGGCCAGCCTGGTCAAATAGTTCTCAAAACCCCTATCTCCAAAATAACCCCAGAAAAATGGACCAGAGGTGTGAGTTAAGTGGTAGAGTGCATGCTATGCAAGCCTAAAGCCTTAAGTTCAAAACTCAGTCCCACAGGGAAAAAACAATTATGTGTTTACATATCAGCTCTTTAATGTAATGAGGATTATTGTATACAGTATCTTAAAAAATGATGAGTGTAAAATGGGAACTGTCTGAGTGGGGAAGCCAGTGGGTGGAGCAAAAGGAGAAGATGGAGGGGGTAATATGTTGAAGTACCTTATATACATGTATGAAAATAGAATAATGAAATCCATTAAAGCTGCTTGACAGGGAGGGAGAAGAGGATGAGAAAAAGTAATGAGAGTGTAAATTTGATCAAAGTACGTATAGGCATGGGTGGCAATATTACACTGAAGTCCCTTTGTGCAATTAATATGTGCTACTAAATAAGCTTTGGCTGTTTGATGTCCCCACCCCGGAGGAGCTAATACAGAAACCTTAAAGCAACAGAGATTATCATGAGAAGGAGATCAGTAATCAGTGTAAAGATCAGTTCGAGATAAATCAACATGGGTCATAACACATGTGTACATGAAAGCAATGCTAGGAATCTCTCTGTATAACTATCCTCAACTCAACTAGCAAAAACACTTTGTCTTCCTTATTATGCTTGTGTCTTCTCTTCAACAAAATTAGAGATAAGGGCAGAACAGGTTCTGCCTGGAAGTGAGGGGGCAGGAGGAGGGGGAGAGAGGGTGAGGGTGGGGGGAGAGGGACAGAGGGTGAGGGAGGGAGAAATGACCCAAACAACGTATGCACATGTGAATAAATGAATAATTAAAAAAAAAGCTTTGGTAAGCTGAATTACAGAGAGTTATTAGGAAACCACACACAATTATAACCTGTTAAAGAAAGGCATCATACTTCCCTAAAAATTTAAAATTTAAATGTCACTACATTAGAAGAAAAATGCTTTCAAATAAGTAATATCAAAGTTCTTTTAAATATTTCTTTTTAAAAATGAAACTATTTTTGAGTGTGTGCTTAAGTATATCATGAATTTTTTCTTTTGCAGCCCTGACTTTGAAGCCTAATGATGCTGTGGTATATAGCCTCAGAGCAAAAGTCCGTGGTAAAATGGGTCTGATTGAGGAGGCCATTGCTGATTATAACCAAGCACTTGGTCTGGAAGAGTTCATCCCAGTTACATGACTACATGTAACTATTCTGTGGTTTCTATAGTAGTTTAAGTAGCTGTTCTCCTTGAAACTGAAACAAATTTGTTTAGAAATTTATACTTCATTATTGTATTCGTTATGCTTGGTCTTCTAAATAACCCTTTAATGCATTTAACAAAGTGTTTGTGATGCATCAATTATAAGACTTTTACATCATTACATCTGTGTTTGGAATAACTTGAATTTCTTCATAGGGTGCAGGGTTTAAATGGGAATGTTTGTCAAGGACTATTCCAGCTTAAATTATTTTCTTAAAGGAAAATCATTCCCTTTGAAGCATTGCTATGTTTGTAGAAACAGGTGCCTTCAATCTTTTTATAAATTCCTGCTCATAATGTATTCAACAGCATCCAGATTTTAGAAAATAAATATACGCTGATGACTTTTGAAGAAATTGAAATCAAGTGTGTTTCATTTCACCTTCTTTTAACATGGTACACACTGGCCTGTGTTCTTCTGGGTACTTGTACTCTTCCAACAGGTAAATATGTTTCTTTTTTGCATGCTGCTTGTTTTCCAGGACAGCACCTATGAAGATTTTGAGCAGCCTTTTCCTCCGAGATACTCCCTTGTACCACTTTAATTCAGATTTCATAAGTGTGCAAATAAACACAGATTTCATAAAGTATATTAAAATCTGTACACTTGTAATTAGTGTTTCTTAACAGTTGATGAGTAAAACCAAATTAAAACAGCTAAACATTCTTTTTGGAATGTTTCTGGGGGAACCCCTTCCTTTTACCTCACTGCAATAACAAGGCTTCCTGATGTTCGATTCTTTCAGATTTGGTTTACTCAGTTTATTTTCCTTTCTGGTGTTTCATTATTCAGGTACATCTCCAACCCCTCAGAGGCCCGCTTTCAGTGTGGTCCGGTATTTTGGAAAGGAATAGTTCTGTCCACTCTACGTCTTTCATTTCCAGTTTGATGTCACAATAGACAGTGGATGTCAGTGTGATGTCACAATAGGCAGTGGATGTCAGTGTGATGTCACAATAGACAGTGGATGTCAGTGTGATGTCACAATAGACAGTGGATGTCAGTGTGTAAGTACTGTGGCGATATTTCGCACTATTTCAGGACACTTTCCTGGCATGATGTGTGGGTGATGTGAAGACTGGGTCACCATTAGTGACTTACTCCAACCGGAATATGTGTTTTGGGATCCTCTTGCCCTCTGGTCTCCCAATCCTGCCTTAACCAGAGGTGAGATTCAGACTGACCTCATGTGACCTCATGTGCCTATAGACAGACCTTCTCCTCCTGCTGTGACACATATCTGTCCCCAGCTGCCCTGGGCTCTCTGTTACTGATGAGATGTGGGCACTCTGCCCACCCTGTGCTCTTTGAAAGAGATGTGTCTCTATCAAATTAGCCTTTGATGATCGGAGGAAGGCACTGGTAGATAAATTCTTTCCTCTTCCATCTCTTGGTGTAGTATCTTGAGGTATTTGGCTTATTCTTGAGAATGAGGGTGGGAGATGAAGCAACCAGTTGCACTTTCTGGTGGCTAGCTTCCAGGCACACTTTATGTTTGTGCTTGTCTTCTCTGCCTTACTCCTTTTTTCACCTTCTCTGCTTCCCTGGCTTTGAACTTCTGCTTAAGTACTAGCACAAAGGCATTTATTTGCCTCAGGGTCTAGTTTCTGGGGGAGCCAAGGCTAAGCCAATTAGTAATTTGATTACTTTTTCCCTAACTGTACACAAACACTTACAAATGGGGCTACTGATATCTGACTTGTCAGAATGCTGTATTTCCCCTGGCTTGTGTGCTCTGGGCACCCACAATTTCTCCACACACAGACAGCAAATAATCCTACTGCAAGCACCTGTGGTGTCCCACTGGAGGTATTTCTCTCAGTTCACATACAAGCTAGTGCCATAAGGGAAGAGGAAGGAAAGAAATGTCAAGTCCCTCTTTTTTGAGTAGCTCTTTGTATACTGATCCTTCAGCAGATGGACCGAGTCTGCATATTTCTCACTTTACTAGGACTTATGGGTTGGGTTTTATTTACTTATGATGTGTGTAAGAGTATGTGTACACACACAGGGCTTTTATTCATGATTATCTCTTAGAGGTAAAATTGGGGAGGTAAAGGAAGTGGGAAATTTTTATTTTACTTTTTTTTTTTTTTTTTTACTTTTTAAATTTATTAAGAAGCCAGGCCCAGAAGACCAAAAATCGTATGTTCTCCCTCATATGCGGACTTTAGATCAAGGGCAAACACAACAAGGGGATTGGACTTTGATCACATGATGAGGTGCGGGCACACAAGGGAGGTATGAGGATAGGCAAGAAACCCAAATAAAAACAAGATAGCATTTGATGTCCTCAATGCAAAGGAACTAATGCAGAAACTTTAAAGTGACAGAGGCCAATAGGAGAAGGGGACCAGGAACTAGAGAAAAGGTTAGTTTGAGAAGAATTAATTTAGGATGTAACACATATGTACAGGAAAGCAATGTGAGTAAACTCCCTGTATAGCTATCCTTAATCTCAACTAGCAAAAATCCTTGTTCCTTCCTATTATTGCTTATACTCTCTCTTCAACAAAATCAGAGATAAGGGCAACATAGTTTCTGCCTGGTTCCGAGAGGATGGGGGGAAGGGAAGGGACAGGGAGAAGGGGGGAGAAATGACCCAAACATTGTATGCACATATGAATAAAAGAAATAGAAAAACATAAATAAAAAAAAAGGATTACAGATGGCTTTTATTTTCAATTTTATGTGTTTCTATAATTTATAGGGTTTTCTTATTAATAATGTTTTCTCTTCACTAGAATATAAGCTGCTTTGTCTTTTTAATTCATGTTTTATCTCCAAGTATGGTGCCTAGTAACTAATAAATGCCCATGAAACATTTGTCAAATAGACAAATTGCATACAAACTGTGAGTTGACACTATTCCCTAGTTATTGTTGCAAATTATTTGCTTGTCATATTTCCCTTAGATCTCTTACATGTCTTCCATAAAACAGAAACTGAAAACCTAAAAGTTTTGTTTCTCAAATGTCTTTGCAACCAGCAGCCAGAGTTCCTGATGTGATTTAGTCTCTGCCCACTGGGTGCAATTCCATGAGGCTGAATCTATGCAATGTCATACTAGTCACCTTTCTGCTGATGCTAAAACACTATGTTCTGGTGGCAATAGACTTGTCAGACTCAGCAAATAAAAATCTGGTTAAATCTGAATTTCAGATAAATAATGAATAATTCAGGACTCCCATTTAGACACAGCATACCCTCTTGAAGTTAAATTATCAGATGCACAACATTTTTGTATGTGTAATTTTTCTGAAATTAAATAATTTCAGTAAAGTATTTCTGAAATGAAATGATGTTGATCTGAAATTCAAACTTAAATTGGCATCCTGAACTTTGAAGCCAAGCTTAATGGCTGTGGCTTCCAGTGCTGGCCACACATGCACATTTTCCTGAGGCCAACAGGTGCTGTGCTGTTTCTTGGTTTCCCAGCGTCCTCTTCACACAGAGCAGCAGTTTTGCTGTACTCACCTAAAACCCCGCCTTGAGCCAATCTCTCCAGACCTCCCAATGATGTGAGAACCCACTTTCTTGTATAAAATGCCTTTCTTCTTTAAATAAGTGGGATGGCTTCTGTTGTTTATAACTGATCTATGACTGATATGATTATGTTACTAATTTAGAGGTTTATTTTTCTTTTTTAATGAATAGAACATTTTTTCCACAATGAAGTATTTTATAGTTTGGTCATAGGCAGAAGATTATTACAAGTCAAAACTAATAACTATTAAAATCACAGTTTTTAACACTTACTTTAATCCAGGTACAGGGTTCCATGTCTCACATGCATTGCCTCTACTTTCTCGATAGCCCTGTGAGGTGGTAGGTATGAATAGGAGAGAAAACTGAGAATTGAGTGAAATAATCAGGGTCATGCAGCCAGGGAATGAATGGTGGAGTTGGTCTGTGAACTGTCCTAGTTTCAAAGACTGTTCTGTGTTTCTCACTCCTATTCTCCTAGAAAAAACAGATAAGAGGAACAGATAGTTTACTAACCAATCTTTATCATAATGACATTAAAGCCATTTATTTGCCTCCTTAATGAGCTGTAGTACAGAAAAACTATTTCTAGTCATTAATATTCCTTTTTGTACTGGCATATGTATTTGTATTTATCGGTTAGTATGTCTACCTGTGTATCCATCCATCCTCAGAGGAATGCATAATAATAATATTTAGGGCTTTTAATTTGAAATACACCCAATGTGCAATATGTTACATTTGATCTTTAATAGTAAGGCAATTGATAGCAAAAAGATCAATATATAGGCAGTAAGGAGGAAAAGAAAAACAAAGGCACAATTTGTTAAAAGTAAATGTACCAAGTACCCAGCTATAGTTTAAGGACATTTTCACTCATCCTTACCAATGAAACAGGTATTACTGTTTTTGGTTTACAGAGGAACAATATTAATCACTGAAGGTTAAATAATTAGTGTACAGCACCCCACACAGTATAATGAGGTTACTTAATTTTGTTCCACTTTTATTTATACACTGTATTTCCTTAAGTTGATGTGCTAGTATTAATTGGATTTATTTTAAAAAGGAAATTATAAAAATAATTACATTAGCTATTAAAGATCTGTCCTAACATACCTGAAACTATTTCTTTTCATACCAGAGTTACTCATGTTACATTTTGGGAACACTTTACTTCACAGTATTATTGCTTTATGGGCGCAGCTGGAAAGCAACCAGAGTGAGGGAGGGAAAAACATCTTATACCAGTTGAGAAGGGTGAGGGAAGGAGCGTGAACAAGATTAGTGCCGAGACAGGCAGGTCAGGGCCAGATGCAATAATCTTGTGCTGAGAGTCCCAGGTCACATTCTTAGCGTGTTGTAACAATAAGATCTTGCTCTCAGAGGTTCTCCAATATCATAAAAATGTTTTGTTAGTCAATGTCTTAGAATCTTAAAAGTCATAAA